CATTACAGCATTGAAAGTGCCACCCACACCTTTGGTGCAATACAACAGGATATCCCCTGTTTGCAAGGAGTGAAGAGAGTGGGTGCACATGTTCATCCTGCTATTGCTGTTCTAGAGTTGTAATTTTGTGGTTGGTTGGTGGGGATACATGTAGTGCAGGATCCGTGTTTGCCTCCGTTGTAGCATTGGGAACAGTATGGCCCGGGACAAGCAGTCAAAAGCGCAAAATCCACTTGCTCTCTTGCTTGAGACCCACACTGTCTCATACATGTAGCTCTTACAATGCTAGGAAACCATTATGACCAGTAGAACCCTCCCCTGTTTAAACCTTTATGTAGTCATTATGACCGGTACACGATTCTCATTTAAATGGATGTAATTTTTGCTTAATGAAAAATCGGTTTTTTCGCAAACTTTGCACACAGTCCCACAACGTAAGCGCTACCGGACTCGGATACCAAAGCTTCCGAGGTCGGAGACTTCACACAGTGCATGTAACACACACACACACACACCCACACCCACACACACGCACACACATCTCTGCATAATAGCTAGCCAGAGAGCTGAGCTACTGCACGGCAGTGTCGCCACGAAACCGAGACCTGACCAAGACCTGGCTGGTATGAACTATTAATAGTCTATGGTTTTAGAACTACTGTGCGGTGACGCAAGCACCAACCTGTGGAGTGGTTGCGTGTTGCGTGCATTCATTTTAAAAGTAATGAATAGTTTCTAATGCTGCTGCTGCTGCTTTAGTTTTTGCTTCTTGTACTGTTCCTTCATTTGCATCTTTTTGAGCTTGAGTGCTTGCTGCAATTCGTTTCCTTCAGGTACGATGAGTGGTTGTTCCTCACTGTAGGAATGTCCCGGTCGAGTGATTTGTTCGTCTTCTCCAAAATTGAAGGATCGTCTGGAATGTGGGTGCAGCTGTGCGATATCGGGTGGAGGCATGGCAAAGGACGCCGGGACTAGGTCATTGGAATGGAATCCCTCTTCTCGTAGAATGTGCAACTGCTGCAGACTCTCGGCTACCAATTCACTGCAATAGAATTGTGTCCAATCTTCCTTGGCATTTTTTAGGTACTGCGTGGCAGCGTACTGTTTGTACTTTTTGCCCAATCGGTGGAGAAAGAGAGAGCGCGCCATGTCCAACGTCAACAGTTCCAATTTGCGGCCTAGGACTTCCCGTATGAACAAGAGCAGGTTAGAGTACGCACTGGGAGTGATCAAGCCACTGTGGCGTCGTACACTCAAGTATTCCAGGTTGTCAATCGTACGGGCCAGCCGAGCTTCCAGTGGAAATAGACAAACCCCCCGTTGCGGCACGACCTCGAATATGCAAATCGCGTCATTGTCATTGTTTTTGTCAATTTTGTCAATTTTATAATCTTCTGGAAAAAAAGGCTCTAAATCTGTCATTTTTCCTCTTACCACTACCGAACTGTGGCTGTAGTAGGATCCCTGCACGACCGCATTAAAGGTGGCCCCCAAATCCTTTGTACGGTAAAGGAGTATGTCGCCTGTATCCAAGGATTGCAAGACTTCCAGCGACTCTTCTTTCCAGTCGCTTTGACTAGAGTGGACTGTTAGACTGCAAGCCACACTGCTCTTCTCCTTATTACTAGCAAGTGCAGCTTGACGAGGAAACGAAGCATTCGGGAGAGGCATGATGTTGCGACGCAGAAAGGAAGGCATTTGCGATTTTATTTATTTTTATTGTGACGTCTGAGCCAAAACAAACCATTGATGAATGATTCAATCGTGCTGGATGCTGTCCGTGACACAAAACCATCAAGCTTCCCAGCCAGGATCTCACAGGATCCATTCCGAGCCAAAAGATTCATGACACGACAAGCCTAGCTAGAGCATCAGGCAGCCTGGCTGGTTTAAAGGCTGAACCTGAACAAAAGAACTAAGACTTTGGAACAATGACGGAGTGAAAAAGATACGCACCTCTACTACTAGCTAGCCTGCGACCGGTACGGTACTGTACATCGCTTGAACAACCGTCTCGTGCTGCCTCCTCCAAGCAAACCAAAGGCTGTCTGTTGCTTGGCCTGCATGCTGGACCAAAGGCCAACCCAACAAGAACAATTAATTATGTTCATTGCAATTACCAGCACCTTGCTCAAGTAACAAATGAAGCAGTTTTCAGGAACTTCTTGCTCGCCTTGATCCTACGGTATTGATAGCCTACCGATCACGGAAGGAGTGTGAAAATAAGCTTCTTTCCAAAAAGATTCTTGACACGAGAAGACTTTAGTCAACATACAGCCTTCCTGGGTCCAAACACAAGCAACGTCAGTTATGGATGCATTCATGCCCACGCCGATTTGACTGTGGGAAAAACTTCTTGTCTGAATCTGTAGCTAGCTAGTATAATAATACTTTATCTACATGTACCTCATGATCGACTCCAGCGCAAAGATACTGTCATGTCACGTTACCATGACCACTAGGGTAGGAGTTATCGCAGCTTCTCCTCACGTTTCCACATCGTATCTGCACAATACTAGCTAGCTAGCTCGACTACTAGAGCCCTATTCCGATTGGATTCCGAGAAAAAGGTCAACTCAGGACACTTTCGAAGGACTCAAAAGCAAGGCTCAGCAGTACCGGTACTTTACTGTGCTAGCATGATGTGCTAGCTAGAGTAGTGCTCCTCGTAGTACTCCTTATGCAGCTACTAGTAGCTAGTAGCCCAAACGACAAACAGTCGTCGTCGACTGTTGACTTCAAGAACCCAATCTTGCTACGGTACCTGTGCTTGAATGCCGCCCGTGCCCGGTGAGCGGACTGGACTTGTGGGAAATACCCGGGCATCGACTCGTGGTTACACTTTCGGTGTTTTCCCCCAACCAATTCAATAATAGCCTCTGCATTCTTCAGTTGCATGTTGTGGGCAATGCAGCCTTGAAACATCCGCCTCATCCTCTGCCTCATCAAAAGCACGATTAAGAGAGGAAAGGAAAGCACCTACGCCTCGTGATGCCCACACACTGACTGGTCTCTCGTGGCTTTCTCCTTTCCCCTCTCCACCGCTCCTGGTCTTTTCTACTGTTGCGGACCAGCAACCAGCAACCGAATGTATCAATGTGGCAGTGCCACCACCAAAGGTGTGGTTTTGACAGTTTCTGCAAAATGTCCTACTACTAGTCTACTGGCATCAGCTTTTGTGCGCTGAGAATGACTTTTTCGAATAAGACGCCTACAACGCCCGTCTTTTTGTTGTTGTTGCCAGGAAGCTGCCCTTCCGCCTTACGTACACAGCTCCTTACGCCCGACACACCCGTCACATTATTTATTGCGGTCATCAATAAAGCTGATCTTACTGGTTCACTGTTCACTGCAACACTACAAACATCCAGAGCAGTCTTCTACTCAGTACTGGTAAAAGGCCATTGAGAATGTCAACAGTTACTATTCGTAAGCAGGATTGTTATTTTTCCAGAGACAGAACTTGTCAATGTCCCATGACCCGAAGTAGATTTAATTTAGTAGATAGAATCTGATGTACCGGGTTTCTGTCTATGAAGTCGCTACTAATACTATACCTTTAGAGTGTCGTACCGCTGGACATGGTACCGTGAGAAGTGGGATCCTGGAGGGACCAGTGTTGATGCGGAATGCCAATGTGCGTCTTGTTCTGATCCGTGACGACACGATGTACGGTGTCGTGCCGCTTGACATCGTGCCACCAAAGTGGGACCAGTGTTGGTGCTGAATGCCTGCTGGTTTTGCCTCCTAATCGAATGATCAATCAGAATCAGTGGTCTGATGTTATAGCTAGCTAGCTAGTTAGGGGTTTTGCGCGTCATAGCATCATTTTGGCTGTGCTCTTGAATTCGTACAGTAGCTCATTGATCATCGTTTCATTCCAACATTCCAACACTCGCTCCCTACTTCGATCTCGCCAAATCTCTTCTAGTTTACCTTTACTTCACTTCACTTGATGCAGTAGCACTATGACATACAGTCCTATTAATAGTATGATTTGTTTCTTGACCTTACTCACCATGATGATGCTGGTCAATGCCCTGCCCAAACAAGGCCTGATCTCTGTGAACGAGTACTCCTGCGATTCGACCAAGACCATCATTGATAGCCGCATCCTCTTTCTTCACTTCTTGGAAGATGATGACTCGAGTGTGGAGTTGCAGTTGCAGTTGCAGTTGCTGCTAGATGATGATAATCTGGTGGCAATTCTAGAAGAAACCATTCTGGAATCGTACAACAATCAGAGCTTTGTCTCCTGCGATCTGCCTCATTTTCGGACCATGCAAAGTGTCACTCTGATCCAAGACACTGACAGCATGTTTGCCAACACAGAGCAGTACTATGACTACTACTATGACAGCCAAGGGAGATCTACTATTGTGTTGGCCTTTCAAGTTCAAGCTCATTGCCGGAACTGTACAGACACCCAACCATTGTTTGAAGAGTATGTTGCAACTGCTAACAACAGCTCTACCACCACGGTGGGCCAGGCAACGGCAACCACAAAGGCAACACCAGCAAGCCCTCCAAAACTAACCTTTTCAACAACGAGGCAGGTACCTCTTGCTACTTTGGATGATGGGTCCTGTGTCTGCCCTATCAGTGCTCGACCACAACCTAATTTGCTGGCACAAGAAGAGTTCCTGCCAGTGCTCAACACAAACATCAGGCTGAGTACTGGATTCCCTTTGATCAATGCATTCAGTCTGGCAGAGCTGCAATCCATTGACTGTGGCGACTCTGAGGACATGCAGACATTCACGTCTTCTTCTTATGTTTCAGTGGAAATGAGGATTGGCGAGAGCCCATCAGATTCCGAGCTAAAGAAGCTGCAAACGGTTTTTATGAATACCTACAATGAGCTCGCATTTCAGTCGTGTGATCCCAATGTACGAACTATCTCAGAAGTCTCTCTCCAGATACAGTTTGAAAAAGACAGTGAACAGGAGCAGCATGATATGGCTACGGCTGTCTTCTCCATTGAAGGGCAATGTCAGAATAATTGCCCAGTAACCAAGAGCGGGAGCCTATCACTCTTTGAGGCCAATTCTTCTGGGTTCCAGTTGCCTACACGGAGTCTCCACCAGAGGAAGCTGTCTACACGTACCAACAACCAGAAACAGTTTGAGTGGGATGTAGTGAAACAGCACAGACATTTGCAGGACTCTTGCCTCTGCCCCGCCAACAGCAACCCCAAAAACGGGGTCTCAGAAGGAGAATTCCTGCAGAGCTTCCAGCAGGAGATTGACCGGCTACAGGAAGAAGGAGAAATTGAGGCCATTGAACATGCAGTGGATCTTCAAGAAGCTCTACTTGTGGCATGTACAGGAGAAATCAAGGAGTTCAAGTCAGTGGTCTTCTCAGATCTCAAGGTGAATATTACAGCTTTGACTCGTGAGGATGCCACAAGGCTAGAGGAATCATTCCAAGAATCCTACAACAGGTAAGGCGTCCCCATTGTTTGCAAACAATCTGTTGCTGTAGCCATTGGTCATGTCTGACACATCCCAACCTATGAACTCCATTGTATTCGAAAAGATTGGCATTCATCACTTGCGATGGACATTTTCGAACTATCATTAATGTGGAGCTCCAGGTTGCCTCTGCAGATGGCATCAATGATGGTGGAAGGCGACTAGATGATATCCTGATGGATCAAGAACAGTACCAATGGAGCCTCAGTCTTACATCTGAATATCCCTACAGCAATTCTAGCAACACTGCAAACACCCACTTCAACAACACAGACATCGTTAACAATGCAACGGCTTATCCAAGTAACCGAGGCAGAGAGATTGTCCCTACTTTGTTTGCAGTGACAGGAACTTGCCGTGTGAGTCATGAGCTATCTTTCCTTGCAGCTTCCAATCTGCATGTTGGCTCCATTATTGACTCAAATCTTAATCTGCCACTTTTTCTTCTGGTGTAGGACTGCCCTGTGACTGATACAGGAACATTCAACTTGTTTGATGATGCATTTAGGAGACGTAGGAGGATGTCAGCACTGCAAGGACCAGAAAGGGCGCCATCATCCAACTACTTTCACAATCTCATGAATCCAATGAGAGACCTTCAAGAGGATCAAGACATTGATGGCGATGGGGGTACTTGCGTCTGTCCTGCAGGAGAAGAACCAACCATTGGGAATGGCCCCAGTAGAGAAGACTTCGAAACAGGATACAATGATGTGATTGAACAGCTGGAAGATGATGGAGAAATTGAGGCAACAGAGACCTCAGTTGAAAACATTGTGGAGGGTCAACCTGTGCTCTGTAATGGGGAAATCCGGCAGTTCACCTCTTTTGTCTATGCTGATCTTGGTGTTGATCCCAACAATTTGAGCAACAACACCATTCAGAGGCTGGAAAAGGTATTTGAGGAAACCTACAACAGCTTGTCATTTGAAGCATGCGATGAGTTCTTTCGTGTTGTGTCCAATGTTGGGCTGCTGGTGGATAGAGAGATATCCAGCAGACGGCTACAAGAAGTGGGCACCAACAACAGCACAGCAACATCCAACACTACCAACTACACTTCTACTGAAGAAGTGGATCGGGCTGGTGATAGGGTTCTGTTTGAAGTCACAGGGAGGTGTCGCAACTGTCCTGTAACCAACACAGGCAGCTTCAATCTTTTTGATGATGCATTCAGAAGAGCGTTGATTGAAGGCAGAAAGCTCCATTCCTTTGCAAGTGGGTTCTCTCAGCATCCTAAGAGTAATGCAGTACCATATTCTTTCAAAGATAACAGGAGGAACCTGCAGCAAGCCTTAGATGTGTGCTTGTGCCCAATTGGGAAAGAACCAGATGATGCAAGGAATACAACAACCAGGGACTTCCTAATGGAGTACAACACAAATCTTATTAAGTCTCTACAAGAGGAAGCAGAAGCCCAGGCAGCCAGCTCTGGTGGGTCCTTCACAGGAACTCAGCAACAAAATTTTACTGAGGAAATTCCAATAATTGTTATTGAAGAATACTCAGTGGATCCCAGAACAGCTAATTTCACACCAAGCCCAACAACAGAGTTTCCAACAACTGCTCAACCATCAACTTCTGCTCCGGCAACAGCCCCACCAAACACTGCAGCACCAATAACAGCGGGTCCTACTCAATTGCCAACAACAATGTCTCCAACTGAAATCCCCATAACCAGTAATCCGCGCACAGAACCACCAGTAACCAGTCAGCCAACTACAGTAGAACCAATGACAGCAAGTCCTGCCACTGGCCAACCCACAACCAATTTGCCAACAGGAGTACCAACTGAAGGTTCTTCGCAATTCCCAACAAGTGGATCACCCACACAAAGGCCAACTGGAACTCCCACCCCTGAACCAACCTGGGAACCAACAGAGGATCCCACAAATGCTCCCACTACACAACCCTCCCCAGAGCCTACTTTAAGCCCTACAATGGTTCCCACATCACAACCTTCACTGGAGCCAACTCCATCACAACCTTCACTGGAGCCAACTCCAGAACCTACCCCAGACCCCACGGCTACTCCATCAGTTACCCCAAGCTTAGCACCCACTGGAGCTACATGCAATCTCCCACTTCAGAGTTCAACTGTAGAAATGTCAATTGTTCTTTCTGGGGACTCCTCTGTCCTGTCAGATGAGTATCTTGCAAGTACTATGATGAATGCTAGCCAATCTACTGTGACATCCAATCCATGCACACCTGATGTTACCAGTGCAACAGTCCAAAGCAGAATTTTGCAAAGACGAAGGCTTCAGGGAACAGCTGGGTCAGAGACCATCCTGTACTTACTCGCGTGTCAACAAGCTGACACAGGTGACATGTACAAGTCATGGTACACCACACCTCTTCTAGTGGCCTATAGTCAAATAACTCAAGAATTTGGTGTCTCAGCTGTGGGAGCCCGGCAGCCCACCAGCAGTCCTTCATCCCTCCCATCAAGCAGTCCTTCAAATACGCCATCAACGAGGCCTACAGCCAAGCCAACACTCATACCCTCATCCAAGCCAACTTTTCTTCCAACAAGAGCTCCAAGTCTCCCCCCAAGTGCTTCTCCCAGTCCTAAACCCACTGCTAGTCCAAGTCCTAAACCCTCTACCAGTCCAAGTCCAAAGCCATCAATGATTCCAAGCATTGGTCCGTCTTCAAGCCCATCCATATTTCCATCAGGTGATCCCAGCACTATCCCCAGCAGTGCACCTACTCTAAGTGCTCAACCAACATCTACTTACTCACCAAGTTATAGCCCATCATCCAGTACCCTGCCCAGTGAAATACCAAGTTCAGGGCCCAGTCAATACCCCAGCTCGATGCCCAGTCAATACCCCAGCTCAGTGCCAAGCCAGCCTGCAAGTCAATCACCAAGCAAGTCACCTAGCTCAATGCCATCCAATAGTGCCAACCCAAGTAGCCTACCTTCGTCAGAACCCTCAATACTGCCCAGTTCAACTCCAAGCAACAGCAGTGTGCCTAGCTCTATTCCTTCAACCAGTGTTACTCCCAGTGTGAATCCAAGCTCATCACTCAGCTCATCTCCGAGCTCAAGACCATCATACAGTGCAGCTCCAAGTGTGGACCCCTCATCCACACCATCAGAGGCCCCAAGTGCCAACCCTAGTACAAGTGCTACACCAACAACATCAAGTTTCCTGCCCTCAAGCAGCAAAGCACCCAGTATGCCCCCCAGCACATCCACAAGCTCTTCCCCCAGCATGAACCCATCAATAAGTTCAAATCCAAGCCTGAACCCCTCATCAACTCCCTCTCAGAGCCCCAGCTCCATGCCCAGTATAAGTGCTGCTCCAACAACATCAAGTTTCATGCCCTCAATCAGCAATGCCCCCAGTTTCTTCCCAAGCACATCCCCAAGCTCTAACCCCTCATCCACACCCTCACAGAGGCCCAGCTCCATGCCCAGTATAAGTGCTGCTCCAACAACATTAACTTTCATGCCCTCAATCAGTAGTGCACCCAGTTTCTTCCCAAGCACATCCCCAAGTGCATCTCCCAGCATGAATCCATCAATCAGCACTGCTCCAAGTGCAGGCCCCTCCTTGCAGCCTTCTTTGGCACCTAGTTTCATTCCTAGCCACTCACCAACAGGGAGCTCTCAACCCAGTGACAGGCCTAGTGCTGGTCCCAGTGCAAGTCAATCTCCAAGCTCTGTTCCAAGTGGCAGTCCCAGCTTGATTCCCAGTATTTCACCAAGCATCTCTCCTAGCTTTGGGCCTAGCACAAGTCCCAGCACCACACCAAGCATTCCACCTAGTCAGGTGCCATCAAGCAGTAACCAGCCCAGTGGCTTGCCAAGCAACCTCCCCAGCACAAGCCAATCTCCAAGTGAAAGCCCAAGCAACCTTCCCAGTAGATCTCCAAGTCTAATGCCAAGCCATACTCCAAGTTTGTTACCCAGTCAGTCCCCAAGTCTATTGCCAAGCAAGCATCCTAGTGCTACACCTTCTTCTGATCCAAGTACCTCCCCAAGCAACATTCCTAGCACCATTCCTAGCAACTCACCAAGCATCATTCCAAGTTCTCCACCCAGTGATAATCCAAGCAGCTCTCCCAGCAATGCACCAAGTTGGCTTCCAAGTAATAACCCCAGTTCAAAACCAAGTAGCATGCCAAGTTCAGCTCCCAGTGACAACCCCAGTGACAGCCCCAGTTTTGTTCCCAGCATCAGCCCAAGTGATCAACCCAGTTTGCAACCCAGTTTTTTGCCAAGTGTCACTCCAAGCTCTTCACCAAGCAGTGTCCCAAGTGTTGAACCAAGTGACCAACCAAGCACCAGCCCTAGTTCTTCACCAAGTGACCTACCCAGTGTCAGTCCAAGCAATTCACCAAGTTTGCCACCAAGTGGGTCCCCAAGTAGACTGCCAAGTGTTGTTCCCAGTGCTTCCCCAAGTAGTCTCCCAAGTTTTTCTCCAAGTGATCAACCAAGCCTCTCTCCCAGCAGCACACCAAGTGATCAACCAAGCATTTTACCAAGTGGCAGACGAAGTGTGAATCCCAGTGCTATGCCAAGTAGTCTCCCCAGTATTGCTCCTAGTGACCAACCCAGCATGGATCCCAGTGCATCACCAAGTGATCTTCCTAGTGTTACACCAAGTACACAGCCTAGTGTTACTCCCAGTGCGGCACCAAGCACCATTCCTAGTATTGTACCAAGCACTCAGCCAAGTTTTTCCCCAAGTGTGGCACCAAGTGACATTCCTAGCAGTGCGCCAAGCAACCAGCCTAGTTTTTCCCCCAGTGTGGCACCAAGCGACGTTCCTAGCTGGTCTCCAAGCTTTTCCCCAAGCAACAATCCAAGTTCACAGCCAAGTACCTTGCCCAGTACTTCACCAAGTGACCAGCCCAGTACTGTTCCCAGCACTTCCCCAAGTAACCAACCAAGTATTATTCCCAGCACTTCCCCCAGTGACCAGCCCAGTTTGGATCCTAGTTCTAGACCAAGTAACTTTCCCAGCACTTCCCCCAGTGACCAGCCCAGTACTATTCCCAGTACATCACCCAGCATCCAGCCCAGTTTGGATCCCAGTTCAAGACCAAGTGGCTTGCCCAGCATTTCCCCCAGTTCAAAGCCCAGTTCCTTACCCAGTGGAGGCCCAAGTCAGGCACCAACCCCGGTACCTGTAATCAATGACAGGGATGATCTGCTGGCAGAAATTGAAACTTGGATAACCACAGGAACATCTCAATATGGTGGTATCAACACCTGGGATGTTTCCAGAGTAACTGACTTCAGCACATTGTTTTTTGATCGACCCACCTTTAATGATGACATCAGTGGCTGGGAAACAAGCCAAGTGCTGGACATGCCACAAATGTTCGCTGCAGCCACCATATTCAACCAAAACATCGCAGGTAAGTTGTTTGGATTCTCAGAGAGATACAACTACTCCGGGGTAGATGTATGTAATCGGAGAAGTTCTCACCTCAGTGTACTTTGGTGATCTGTTGGAATAGGTTGGAATGTTGCAAAGGTCACTAGAATGGATTATTGCTTCTGGAAAGCCAGCGCTTTCAACGTAGATATCTCAGGTATGTGGCAAACCTCCTAACCCACTAATTGGGTCTTGTTTTATGCCGATATTCTCACATTTTATTTTGGTGCACCTTGATGGTGCTTGGAACAGGTTGGGCCATTAACTCTGTGGCAGATATTAATGGAATGTAAGTTGCATTGCAGAGCTTAATTAAACATGTGCACCAGCAGAAGTGCTCACATCCAAGTGTTTTGCGTGGGCCAGGTTTTATGAGGCCACATTGTTTAATCAAAATTTGTGTGCTTGGGCTCATCATCCTTTGTCCACAGGCCCCGCATTAGCGTTTCACCGAACTGGCTGCCCTTCTCCTCCTGCTGCTGGCCCATGGTGGGATGGGACAAAATGGGATTACCTTTGTGCTTACTGTTAGTCATCTGTGGGTAGCACTGTAAGCAGGGTAACTATGCACTCGCTGCTGGTCAACTCTAGGTGGCTCCTGCACTGCAAAGCAGTTTTGCCTCCATCTTCAGATGGTCCCAGATGTGAGCTGTCGCAGCATTTTGATTTTAATAAGAGACTTGCCTGTGTGGTACTAACCAACTGGTACTAACCAACAGGAACTAACTACCGGTAGCTTGCTAGCTACTAAAGGAATGATGAATTGAATCCACGGAGAGTATATTTTTGAAAGACAGAGTTCTAACTTTGCAGATCTAGAGTTGTTGGTTGGCAATTTGTATCCCCCAATCATTGACGATATGTTTGCTGTACCTCAAATTGACGAGCCGACATTTTCACCCAATCCAACCCATCTCCTTCCAAAGAATGCATATCCATGGCAGTATACTCACCAGCACTGCTGTAGGACTGATGACTGGCGGCATCGTCACTACCAACGCCACCGACGATGCCGACGCCGCTGTGCTGCTGGTGAAAGGACGAAACGCCAAGGCCCATGCGATACTCGTCTCTCATGTGTTCGTAGGCATCCAAGGAGTTGCAGCGAATCGGATGGCTTGGGCTAGTGCCACTGGCGGTTGTAGTGCTGCTGATGTTGATATGCACATGACTGCTGTGATGGTGCGTATGGCTCATCTGACTTTCGGCAGACGAAGAGTGATCGAGCGTGCCAAACATGGCCAAGCCCATTTCATACTCAATGGATCGTTCATCCAGGCTGGCGTTGCGAAGTAGTTGGTTCATATCATAATCTCGGCGAGGGCGGGGGCGACGACGGTGGGGATGATGATTGTAGGACTTTTTGTGTGGTTTCGGTTGCGGGCGAGTTGACTCGTAAGGGACAGATTGATCGTCGCGGGAGTAGCGGCTGTTTCGGCTCTTCCGACTCTGCTGGCGAGAATAGCCATCCACAGCAAACTCGGAGGTGTTGTTTTCCACGTCAGGGTTGCTGCTGTACCCGTCAAGAACTAACAAGGAACCATCGTGGCCAGCATCCAAGGAGCTTAAATCACTGTCGTCGACGACCAGCCTCCTTCCTCGACGACTGGAAGACGACCGACGACTTGCGGATAGAAGACTCGGTGATTGTCGACCTGGAGATCGACGACGTTCCACTGTTGCCGTTCGGCCAAGGATTGCATCGACGCCTTGCTCTCTTTGTTCTTGTCGTTCTATTCGTTGTTGCTGCTTCACCTGCTCTTCATAGATTTCGCTCAGAGCTCGGTTGTAATCCTCCTCGGCAATAGCTTCCGTCTCTTCCTCAACGGCATATACACGCAAGGAAAGATGTTGTGTTTCAATCTCATTACAGAGAAGGCGCTCTTCCAAACGACCAAGGCGCCTCTCCACTTTCTTGGCCTCTTTTTCAGTGTCCATGTTCATGTTTTCACTCTGATCAAGCAAATCGCTGAGGAAATCTTGCAACATCTCGCCTCTTGATAAGAGCTTGTCTTCTCGGATGCGGATGCTTTCGAGTGTCGACTCAAGACAGTCCACCTTGAGTGCCTGGTCAGTGAGCTGTTCTCGCATATCCATGAACGTGACATCTTTCATCACAAAGTTTTCTCTGCCATATCTCAGTATGCTTGTTGGGGTTTGAGGCGTTGTTGAGAGCCATAGTTTGTCTTGAGTATCCTTGACTAGGTTTTCTAGCATGACATTTGCCTGATCGATTGGAGATGAAACCTTGTGCGGAGTACTGGTGGTAGCGTTCGACGATCTTGTCGACAGCTTGGGCGTGCTAGGGTTCGATCGGCTGGTTGGTGGTGTCTTGCTGTTTTTCAAAATTGAAAGAGATGGACTTGACATGATAGGCGAGGCTGGTTGGAGCTCGGCAAATGTGGCAGCTGTGTTGAGCTGCTGGAGAGTCTCATCCTGGCTGTGGTGGGAATGATTGCCTCTCCACGTAGAAGACTGCTTGCCGGTAGAAGTCTTCGAAGGCTCGGAAGGGAAACTGACCGGGGACGAGATGTCTTCATTAGGAGGACTTGGAGCAGGAGAGGACGGAGGGCTGGGAGGGGCAGAGGTGGAGTGATTAGTAGTAAGCTGCTGCAACGCATAGTCATGGAGGCGCAGCGTTTCATTCTCAAACACTCTGCCCGTAGAAAATACCGAGTTCCCATCGGAGTTAACTGAATGATGATCGATCACTTCAATGCGAGACTCATCATACAATCGATCGGTCGAACGTTCCATCGCAGATGGGACACTCTTGGAGCTCTGACTTCGGGCGTCGCTCACAAAATCAAACTTCAGCACTGCATCATCGTCGTCATCGCTTTCGGAACTGTTGTACCTGGCATCGCTCTTGCTTTCGTTAGTGCCAATACTCTTGCTCGCAAGACTTTTGCTTTCATTGGTGTCGTCATTGCTGGGGCTTTCACTTCTTGACTCTTCACTTTCCTGTTCTCGCGAGGTTTGATTTCGAATGGATACTTTTGTAGTTTGCGATGATGCAGACATAGTAGCTTGTTCGTCACTTCCAGATGAGTCGGTTAGGTCCAAGAAAACATGCTTGCCAGAGCTCTTGCTGTGTTCGCCCCATCGTTTCCCCCCATTTTTCGTCTCTTTCGCTGGTAGGATCATTGGCTCTCCGCTGTGTGATGAGCTAGTTGCCTCTACATAAACATCTTTATCGGCAACTGTCGCATCTCCAGAATCCGATGATACAGCCTTGGGTGGAGTATTGGGTCTGTTGCCGTCCTTGTTCGTGAGCTTCGACTTCCCTCCGGATTGTTTCTTTTGGGTCTCCTCGTCTCCAGAATCAGAAGGGGCGATTTCAATCGGGGCAGTGCCTTTCTTGTGAACGGAGTCACTGCCACTGTCATTGGTTCTCTCGAAAAGGGACTTGTATCTGTCCACAAAGTTACTCTCGCTATCCGTGCCTTCTTCTTCTGTTGTCGATTCTTGATCCAAGAGGCTGGGTCCTTCTTCGGCCTCCAACAATATCCTGACACCCGCCAACTCTTCGCCGTCGAATCCTGAATCAGCCTCTTCGATGCTGACGTCTTCTTTACTGGCATCGTTTTCGGCATCGGCTTCGGCTTGAGCTTCGGCTGCAAGCCATTTGGAATCAGGTGTAGAAAGCGTACTTTGCATCCGGAGCTTTTCAATATTGTCAATGTTGTCAGCGCTGCTGTCTTCACGGGTTTTGGGTGTTTCGAGGCTACCCGTACCCAGGCTTTCTGTCAGTGGACTTACAGGCGACACTATTTCGGGACCACTAGACGCGGTTGCGTGGCTTGGCGTTGTTTTCGCAGAGCTAGCCGCAGCAGAGACATTGTCGTCGTTCGTCTGGTTACTTGATTTCTTGGTGGATGCCTTTGACGACGAGGTACTCTCAGCCGCACGAACAAACATGCCTGGAGGATCTTCGTGGAAATAAGTCACGGATGCATCAGGCTTCTTCTTGCTGCTCTCGGCTTCTGATTTGGTGTCGTTTCGGATTTCTTCTTCGATCTTGTGCTTGGTCCATAGAACAGTTCCAGGCTCGTCTCGTTTAGCTTTGAGACCAGCAAAGGAACGCCTGTTATCATTCATGGAAACTACCATTCGAAGAATGGATAACTCAATGGCCCATTCTGTGTTTTCATGCCGATCGTTCGATGACTTGACTGAAGAATTGTTTGAGACAAACGCCCGAAGTTCTTCAATAAGTGCATCCAACCCTGGGAGAGAGTTATCTGATCGACTGTCTTGCTGCGAGTAAAGATAAGCAGTGATCTCTCTGGCAGCGTCCACCCAGTTCGGAGACACATAACGAACAGATTTGTCCAGTAAAACGTTGACCAACACAGACAATGCCTTTTCACCTCTCATAAGAATCATTCCAGTCAACATCAGTGGAAGCAGCTTGCGAACAATGTTAGACGGCTGAGTCAACTCGATTGGATAAAGAGATGTTCCAGAAACCGGGACAATGGGAAGTCCAATCAATTCATCAATCAGGTACAGATAAGCTTTGCCTGGCTCATAGAGATCAATCAAAGCTTCTTCAGCTTCCTGGCACCTCTTTTTAGTAGCCGTGGACGTGTCGTCGTCTAACTCTGAGCTGATGCGGTGCTCTCCAGATTGCATCGACTTTTGTTCCAAAAAGTTGAGGATGTTCTTGGGATCCGTCAGCTGCAGCAGGCATTCCGCAAACTTGACAGCTGTTGCCGCTGACGATTGTTTGTCGATACCAAGCTTGCCTTGGTCGTTCTTGGTGAGCTTGTAGGGGAGTAATATGAAACTGGTTGGCATGCTGTCTTCGTGGATGTGAAACAAGGTGCGACATAAAACGCCAACATATCCTTTTCCCTTAAGAGACAGGTATGCTGTAGCATTGGTTGTCGTCGTGTCATCCTGAGATCCTGCCACGGAAGATTTTCCAGATGGCGATACGGCGGCTGTGGCGACCGCCTGGGCCACCATTTGCTCAAGTCGAGAAGCCTGACTTGACTCGTATTCTTCTAGCCGCGTACGCAACAACGCCTGACACTCGGGCGCCGCCACTCGAGAGAGAGGCTTTCCCTGGGTGGTTTTAACCGATGCCAAGTAAGGGATGGTTGAAGCAGGGATTGAATCCAAGATGCGCTTGACACTGGGATAGTACGTGGCTTGGAAATGGTCATTGATATCCTGAAAGGTACACAACCAAATCCAAATGCGCTTTACGGCAACGCTGAGATGTCCATGTTCTCCTTTGTCTCGGAACTTCTGATCCATTTGATTCGATTCGGAGATGACCTTGGCCTCGAGACGTTCAATGCGGGTGGCTTCCATTCGGAAACGGGGCACCGTGGGATGAAAGGCAAACAATAAATCGGACCGACGCATATAGTCTTCCACGATCAAAGATCCACCGCCAGCAACCTGAATTGGCTTGGACTTGCGGGCTTCAGCGCCGATCTCCCATTTGGGGAAGTCAGTGGAAAGCTTATCATGCAGTTCCAACGGCAAGGAATGATCTGGAATAAAGGTCCGAAGATGCCCGAGATTACAGGGAACCGTTGCCGCTGTGGGATCCTGTTCCAACAGCTGCCTCAGTGTAGGCACGGAAGCAGTAAATATCGAAGCAATGTGGAGTGGCAAGAGCAACCCCACACTTCCAGGAGCCCGACAAATGGTTGTGGCGGCATTGCCAGACGATCCAGCAGCATTGTTGTTGTTGGCATTGCAGAACGCCGCAACGGGATGCAAAACAATTTCAATGCACTGTGACATGGACTGATACAATTTGGTAATGGCAGCTGCATTGCGTCCATCTGTGTCTTGATCCTTCTGCACCTTCTCGTAGACCTTTTCGTACCATTGAGCTTCCCATTCCATGAGCGTTCTTGCCAGCAAATGTGCCGGCAAATCCCCGTGATCATCCAAGACGGTGCAGGCTCCACGATTGGCTTCCACCAGCACGGAAATCAACCGTTTCAGTTGCTGAATGTCATCGACCAGCTCCAGGGCCAATCCGGTCGACGTTGTTGATGACGCATTGGTGATGCGATGATGCGGGAATCCTCTGGCACAAGCCGTGTGCAATCCTAGCCGTCCTCGTTGTGCGGCATTGTGCGACTGTTGCTGCAACCGAACCTTGACCAATCCTGGACAAACTCGCAGCATGCGCTGAATGGAATCCACGGGCGTCTTGGGTTGTTGTAGAGCCTCGTAAAAGGCCGTGACAGACTTGGTTCCAATGGAGCTGCTAACAATAACTTGCGTTCCGTCGGATCGGACATGGATTTCCACGTGTGGATGATGAGGAAAGGGATTGTAGGCGCTGGCGGCGGCATTGCTGCTATAGTTTTTGGAGTTGGGTGGGAATTGCTTGTTGGCGTCATTCTTGGTGTCGGCAGAAGGAAAGAGGAAAGGCTTGTGTCCATGAATTTGTATCTGCTGCTGTTGCTGCTGGTTGGCTGTATTGGAAGATAGAGTCGAAGTCGGGGAGAGAGGTTGCTGCTGATTGTGCTTGCCTTGCCTATTCTTGTTTTGATTGTCTGTTTTGTCAGCGGCGGTAGGTGCATTGTTGCCACCACCACCATCACCACCAAAGAATATGTTGTCGGCAGGACTAGCTCGATTGGGACTGCCATGGTAGCGCTGGGGACTCGCTGCAGCTCCCATTCCATGATGCTGAGAATGCAGGGGACTGTTACTCGTTCTAGTGGCTTGCTTGTAGACTTCTGCCGCGACGTTTTCCAAGGCCGTCTTGGCACTGTTCATCCAGGTAGGACTGGCAGTTGTGCTATCAGTGCTACCACTAGGTTCTTGCTGCTGTTTCTGTTTTGCCATTTGTTCTTCTCGAGTTGGGCTATGTGGTGGATCAGGGGCCACCCGTCGTTGTCGTTTGGAGGAATTCCCCTGTTGTTGGTAATGATGATTGCTAGCCGCTGCTGCTGCCGCTACGGGTCCCAACGTTTCGTAGATTTCGTCATTGCTACTGAAATTGTTGAATGCAGCAAAGGCGGCCGCCAAGGGTGGATCCTTGGGAGGCAACACTGGTGGATCCTTCGTGGATTTTGGCTGTGGCGACAGGGGATAAGGTGACGACGATCGATGGTGATGCAGACGTTGCTGTGGTGGCTCTTGTGGTTGCTTGTGGTTGTTTCGATAAGGACGACGGTTGTTGCTGCTGATGATATTATTGTTGGTTTCTTCATCAGCGCGTCTTTGTTCCAAAGTCGCTTGACCATGATTCTCGTCATGCTTTTCTCTGGCATGCTGATCTTTGTTATTGTTGTTGGAATCTGAAGTCGTCGTCGAAGACGATTCGGACGGCACGGTTTGCAATCCAGGGAGAAACTTTTTGACGTTTGGATCGTTGGATGCCACCACTTGTACAGGATTCGGTTGGTTTGGATTGGGCTTGGTAAAGTTTGTGGATATGGAGGATGGATCTCGCGAGACATCTTGACTGTTGGACGGATCACTGCTATGATGATCTCCTCCTCCGCCACTACTCTTGGGTGATCGAGTCGGATTGGGTCGAATGTCGTGAAAATGTGGTTCATGACTGTGGTTGGTCCCAGTGCTCTTGGGCGAGGTTGCGTTTGCGCCTGCAGCCACGTTGTTATTGCTTTTGCCATGTATGGCATCATGGATCAAGTCGGTATCCACAGGAGGGGGCCTTCTCGTTTTGGGCGGTGAGGGTCCTCGATAGCGTTGTACCGGTCGATCATTGTCACCGTCGTCTTCCCCTCCACTTCGCGACCCCGACTGATACACGTCGGAGGAAGTGGACTGCGACTTGCTGACAGACTGTGATTCGCTCATACTGAGTTCTTCTTCCCTACGACGTTCCTCCTCCAATGGATGAAGCGACTGATACTGTTGGTATTGTCGTTGTTGCTTGTTGTTTTGACTCGAATCCCCTGAGAATGCTTGAAAGACCGTCTTGAACAAGCCATTTGTAGTAGATCCCGTATTCTGCGTCAAGGACCCCGCTGCCGCTGAACTGTTTGGCGATGAAAAGGGTGATGTGTTGCCATTGGGTGTGGGTGGTCCCATGTACTGTTGTTGGGGCTGTGAAGCTGAAAACCCTCCTGAACTTGGACTTGAATCCTGATGAGGTTTGTTCGTGGTGGTACGCAGGTGCTGCGGGTGTTGCGACGGCGTTGAGGGTGACATCATCATGTGGTTCAGACTGTTGTTGTTTGGACTAAACTGGTTGTAGCGGTAGTTGTTTGGACTAGCGGAAGCGGTCTGAGTGGCTCCATAAAAGGGACTCGAGGGGTGAATGGGTCCTGGAGTGTAGGAGGTTTGGCTGCTTATGGATTCGTGGTCATCTTGTGCCTGATCTCTGGAGTTTTGAAAGCTAAACTTGAGTGGCAGACCTCCTTGAAAGAGTCCCTTTTTGTTAGTGTTCTGATTTGCGTTTGCGTTTGCGTTTGCGTTTGCGCTCGTGGTGCCCACAATTCTCTTTTTCTTCTTATGATGGATTCCGAATTTGTCAGGTTTTCGTTTTTCACCGAGAGAGGATGCAAAGGATTCTGCCCCGTTGGTGTGCGACGTTGAGACCGAATTGGACCCCAGGTCACTGGTGGTCGAGTCATTGTCTCCACCGATATTGGAGTTGCTCGACGACAGAATCTTTTCGTATTTTTCGTACGAGACGCCCCGTGGGATTTCCAGAGCATCTTCTTGTCGCTTGCGATCCTGAAGTTGGGAAACGACGGTCTGATGCGACGGAGCAAAGAGACGTCGTTTCTTCATATCCTTGTACTGCTCATCGTGACGAAACTTTTGCATCATTTTCTTGGCTTCGTGTTTGCTGGCTTTGGTACCAACGCCCTGCGCATTGTACACGACTTCAATGCCAAGCGAGGGCAGTTCCTCGCGCAGAGGCAACTGCGGCGGTTTGTCCGTCACGCACGTGATGCAAATATCTACATTGTGCGGTAAGCTCTTGCCGCTCTTTTTCGTATTGGTGTTTGTGTTTGTGTTTGTATTGGTCGTATTGGATTCCTGTTGTGCGTATCCCGACGTACTACCAGTCCCGCTTTCGGCGCTCGGCGTAAACGAGTTCTGACTCTGACTCTGGCTGTTGCTCAGACTTGCTGGATGCTGAAGTTGTTGATGTTGCTGATGATGCTGCTGATGCTGATGACGTGCAAAGGCAGCAGTCACACCAGGAGGCAACTGCGGCTTGTGAAGCACGTAGTTGTGGTTCAGATTGGTCTGAGAACTGGGAGGGTCCATTGTGGCTCTTTGCCCTTACCGGTATTCGCAGAACACTTACTTAACTTGACCAGCACGAAATCCACCCACAAAAATCGATTCAATTCAAATCAGATCAGATCAGATCAGATCAATTGCAATTCCACGCAAATCGTTTGTTCGTCGTTTTTTGTCGTATTCTATTTTGCTGCCGCTCAAAGCTGAACGCAAGTTACCAACCACAGCAATTACTATAGTTGATCAAGAAGTTTGTTGGCGGGTTATCTATCTATCTTATCTTATCTTATCTTGCATCCATGATGATGATTGATGGTGGTGGTGGCAGTGCCAAAACAACAAGTTGCTCTCTCACACAAATCGCTGTTCCGATTCGATGGAGCTCGCTATCAGCATTGGTAGACAGCAAAACTTCCTCGAAATTCTAAATGCGACGTATTTTGGCGAATGCTGGGTCTTCTTCCAACATTCCCGAGAGCCCGTCAGTCCCTACGTATATAACTGTACTTAGGGGCTTGGGCACGATTGGTGGCAGTTCCGCTCTTCGCCCGCGATACTTAGCGCACCTCTACTCTGAAAGGGTTAGCGTTTATGGAGCGAGAGAGCGTAGGTCTCTTCTTGGAGTGTTGGGTGCACAGATAGAAGCGTGGCGGCTTCGCTCAAGGCTGCAACCTTCACACCAGTACTGTACTGTAACTGACTGACTCGACTCGACTCGGGGTAGGCGTATTCGGTTGGATTGATAGCTTCAAAGTCGTGTGACAGTCGAGTCAAAAGAAAAAAATTCCTGGCTGGGAAGGACTTCCTTTTGTGCAAAGACCACAGAACCATTGCTGAAGATTGTGGGCTGACACAGGCGGCTACCGTATCCAAAGCCAAGCCTCCGCTATTAGTCAATAGTACCGGTAGGCTACACTTGAGGAATGACTGAATCTACCATTCGATTGATTCGATTCTGATTCGATTCATCGATAATCGATAGAGCTACATCCAGCCGAGTCTGAGTCTCATCAGCTGTCTCTTGGATAAACGTACGATGTACCGTACGCCGTACGAACGGAAGTCAGTTCCAGTGGGCACTTTTGTGGAGTGTCTTTCTCTACTGTTTTACTATATATAGAATATATTCCATATCGCTCTTGATTCTGAGAGATCCCACCAGATTAGGGTACCTTTTTGGAGGCTCTTTCCTTACAATTTTACTATATATATTGCTCTTTAACTCTCTTGATTGTTACCGATCCACGAAGAGTATTGGTTGTTAAGTGACAGGATCAGGGAACCTTTTTGGAGGCTTCTTCTCTACTGTTTTACTATACCAAATAAATGCCCTTCACTCTCTCGATTCGTTGTTTTACTGTACTGTACGGAACAATCATCTTTACTGCGTAAAGGTACCACCAGTGCAACCAGTCCTAGCTAGCTACGTACCGGTACCGGTAGAGCGAGAATAAGAGAGAGGTAGAAAAGAGAAAAGAAGGGAGGCTGGGCCAAAAATTTAAAGCTTTAGCATCTGGGCTCTTTTGGTCTTCTCTAAGTATGTGTTGCCAACTTCTGTTCGACACCGAAGCAAAGAAAAGCATCTTCTAAATCCTCGAAGGTAAACAAACCAGACCACAGACCAGAGAGAAGAGGCAGCGAGGCAGCATTATTTATTTTAATAAAAAGGAATAATGACACCTTCTTTTCTTGAATGGTGAATCTTGTCAATTCTCCACGGTTCTCCAACACAGCGTGGATATGTAATAGGACCCTCCACAAGCTTTGGCCTGCCAGCCAGCTAAACGGGGCTGTGGAGCTTACGTACCCAGTGCCACAAACTATGAAATAACTTGCAGGGAGCCAAAGCCAACTACAAAAATTTGGAAAAAGCGGCTTTACTTATGTGCCCCACTTCCCCGACGGTCATGCTCTTGGCCAGGTTGCGCCTCGACTTATGCGTCCGCCGTTCCCACTTGCGTCAACACTTAACGCTCTTAGCCCTCGAATAGGCACGTGACACAAAAAAGCTGGCATAAATGACTGTAAACCGCAAAACGCAAAAGACATAACACATACATGTACCGGTACCTTTACGAACAGTCGTGATGATGAAAGTGAAATAAATCACGTGATATCGATACGCTCGTGAAAAGAGAGAGGCTAAATCCGCTGTACCAAGGCAGATTTAATGGACTTGCTGCCAGAGAATGAAGGACGTGCCGCAGGGAATAACCAGTTTCCGGGTTGGATCTGTTGTTTGTCGCATACATTCTTGGTGGATTTAAAGCCAACATCTGTCCTTTAACTCCACCTACCCCGAACCAAAATAGACAGTGGAACATGTAAAGAAACTAGCTAGGATTATGTTGTCCTTACATTATGAATATTGAGGCAAGAAGACTCAGCAATGAAGACGAGCAAAACAGAGATGTTGCACTGGTTTTCCGGACAGTATGTTACCAGACTGTTACCAGACTGAAAGCTTTGCATGACTGTTCTCCAAACACTGGAGTATCTTTGGAAGAGTGCTGACTATGTGCATGTAGTAGTAAAAGTAGTCGGTAGAAATGATCTTGTGAAGTTTTGGACTGAGGTCTACTAGCTAGAGTAGTATGACCGTCCTCATCAGTACCGGTAGCACTCACACAGCTACTAGCTAGTACTCTAATAATAAATACCAGTCTATGGCCAGCTGCCCATTGGAAAGTGCTTTTATTCTTTGCTCACAAATCCATCTGTTCGACCAGCGCCACCTCAGTTTTCTAGACTAGTACTAGTAGTACCCAATACTTTCTTTTCTCGAATCAAGACAAGATGACGATTGCATCTCTCTCCATCGTTGGGCAACACCGCACAGGCGCCGAGACGAAAGTGATGCAGATCTTTCTGAGTGCGCCAAAGTCGGTTCGTCAATTTTTGGACATGCGGTGCTTGGAATCCGGACGGCGGATTCGTTGGCCCGATAACGTACCCGTCGCAGCTTCGATCGACGGAGGCCAAGATACTCATGGCGTCGACCTCTACTTGCTGTTGTCGTGGATGGAGGAGAGCTTTGGGCCAATGTTTCAAGTCGCCACAGAAAAAAACGGAAATGTCATTTACCTGTTCCGGAGTGCTGCGCCCGTGCACACCATCCCTTGCATGTAAGAAACTACCACAAAGTATCTATCGTCGCACCAACCCGTACCCTTCTTTTATTAATTAGTATTACATGTATACATGCCATATAGAAACAAGACAGTTAAAACCTTTGCATTTGTCTTGTCCTGTTGCTTAGCTATCCTATACCTCGTCATTGTTGGTACCGGTACTGAATATACAGCAGCTCTCACCAAGAGCTGGCTGGATAGCATTCTAGCATCATTGCTCTTGTATTCTTGTTAACGATCATGGGATGCATATGCAGCAGCACGCCGCATGGTGTTGCATGGATGGTAACTGAGCCCGCAGAAATTTCTACGGTGGAGTGGCAACCTTTTGCTTTCTTCAGTCGGCTCATACTTACTCCAAAGATGCATGCCAGAAGGGGGACAACAGCTCCAAGAGATACTACGCAACAGTGGGGAGACCGAGGATGGGCACTTGGTCAATGAAGGCAAGAAGAATGCAAGCCAAGATCCACCAATGCTCCAACGAGCCGCGAACAAACACGGAACAGCCAACAGCGTCGAGAGGCTGGCTGCAGGCTGCAGGGTTGAGTTGCCTTTCTTCTTGCTTGCTGGATGCTTCACACAAGCAACAAGTGTACATAAGGAACGCTGGGACGGGTTGCTTTGTCATCGTGGCTTCGAACCAATTATTGTCCAAACCAGATATCATGATGGAGTTGAAGGGTTCTTCCAAAGCCAGAGTTCCATGGAACTTGTGCAACTACCGCAGGAAAAGAACGGTTGGAAATTGGATCTTTCCTTGGAGGCAGTTCGTCGGAGGTGCGTGCCACTCGCAGGTAACTATTAATAACTGACGCTCGGACGACAACATAAACAGCTTCTTTTGGTAAGCCTAGTTTCTGACTGACTCTATCGTCTCCTCTTGATGAAGCCCCTAAATGTAGCCATCAGGGTTGCCCAATATGATGGTTTTGCTGGAAAATGAAGTGCCGTTCAGGCAGCAGCATCTGGTCTGCTGGTAGTTCCGACTACCGGTATCCTCTAGGTAGATACCAGTGCGGATCTGTCGCTCTTTCAACTGCTACGGACTGACTCGTCACTCTGAGTGCGAGCGTAGCAATCCAATTGGGATGGTTCTGTGCCATCATATCAATGCAAACCTTTGTACCACTTCTGCAAACTTACAAAGGGCTTTCCAGATCCAGGAGAAGAGTGCGGGAGTGACAGTCGGAGTCACAGTGAGTCGTGGTACCGGTACGACAGACTGTTATGTTCTGTCCCTTTCTACACCTGTCACTCGTTGAAGCCTACTACCCTTCAGTTCGATTCAAACTAGTGCGCAAAGCAGTCAAATACTTCACCAAGAATCTTGACACAGAATGCCAAAGACGACTAGATGACTGCCTAGATATGATCAAATTTGGGATTAACTCTACACTACTGACATTCAAAGACAAATACTATGAATATGATGGAGATATGGATCCTGAAGAGAAAGGACTAACCATTGGTGGATATGAATCCGCATGGCTGTCTGACCTAGTAGGAGCCTACATCCTAGAAAATACCAAAGGCCATTTTGAAGAAACATCATACTATGGCCTCTACAGAGACGATGGTTTTGCGATCTTCAAAGGAACTTGGACATATGAAATGATAGTAGAATGGAGAGCCAACTTTCAGGCCAAAGTCAACAGCCTAGCCGAAGGAGACTACCTAGTATTCACCTGTAGCATATGGCTAGACCAAACTAAAAGACAACTCCCAAAAGATCAACCCGACCCCACAGTAACTGTAGAAAGTGGAAAAGCATTCCCTTATCTAGATATGGAACTGTTCTGGTCAGACCAGGAAGAACTTCACTTCCGAGTCCACCTTAAACCGAACCAACAACTGAAATATCTAAACAGGGGAACTACCCACACAAACGCATGCCTCAAAAACATCCCACTAGGGGTGTTCCAAAGACTCGCTAAACTCACTACAGTTACCAACAAGAATGCCAACCAAACCCTCGCTGAGATCTACCCACTACATATCGAGGCGTTGAAGAAAGCTGGACTGGTTCCAGACCAGATACCAACACTACAAGAAGAGATACAACGATACTCCAAGCGACAAGAGGACAAAGCAAACGAACCAGATAGAGATGCCAAGCAACGAAAAAGGAACCGGAACCGATCATTATTCTTCTGTATAGGACACTCCAACGCCTGGACGACCCAATACACAAGGTAATCAACGACCTCAAGAAGAGCCATGGCCTCGAATGGATTAGAACGTCTATGTCCTATCATTGATTCGCCAACCTGCGAGAGATGTTCATGGGCGACCTATCGAGGAAGCTCACCAAAGACGTCATCTCCACGGAGTTCCAAAATGAAACCTGCAACTGCAAGCCAGGAAACAAGAAAGACGGCCAATGCCGATTTGACGACCGCTGTAGAAATAAACTGGCCATATACTGCATAAAATGCATTAACTCGGGCAAGGAATACGTTGGGGCAACCCAACGAAACGTCAAAGAACGAACATACCAACACTTTAGCCAACGCAAGTCAGATTCATACGCAAGACACTTCACCAACGAATTCCAAAACTTCGCAGCTCCTTCACCATTCCGACTTAATGTCGACATTCAAAGGAACAACATCGAAATTAGCATCCTATGGCAAGGCAACCCCATCAGCACTGTCAAGACCTTCGGGACACGACACTGCAGCCTATGCAACAGGGAGCGACTCGAAATACTGAAACGATCCAGAGAATCGCCAGAAAAGCTGATCAACTCCTGCAACGAAATATATGGAGCATGCCGACATAAACCTCGATTTCATAAGTACCACAATAGCCCAAGCACTGATGATTCCCAAGGGGGATGAAAAAGTCAAACAACCGAAAAGTTACCACAGAGTGAAAGCTCGTGTTTTAGCGATTCGGCAGTTTGTGCTGATTAAAACCTAGGGGATGGGAAAATCTTGCAATAGCCCTGTATTGTAATGGAGTGTGACTCGCCAAAATCAGTTAAAAAGACGAAATTTGTATTTTTGCAGGAAGATATATTTAATTGGATTGCATTGGATTGGATTGCATTGAATTGGATTGAATTGGATTCCAAATAGTACTGTTATTTATATAGTAAACTGTAATTCAATGCAATCCAATCTAATCCAATGCAATCCAATCAAATCCAATAGAGAAAAACAGCCAAAGTAAAAGATTGGCTTGGCGCACACAATTTTTTGCAAAAACGCACTAACAAATTCAACACAGAGCCATGCGCAAGTTTGCTCACCCCCCTACTTAATTCAGTCACTTTTTGCTAAAATCGTATGACCTGTCACTCGTCACTCGAAACCGTTCCACCAACATGGCTTCTTGTCGCACATTCATCACTCGGCGCTTGGTGATGCAGGTGATCATTCGGACGATGGCGATAAAGGGAAGTAAACTTGCAGTGTGGTCCCTCTCAGTGCGCTAGTTCGATTGACCCGTGTGGTTACCACTCATCGATCATGAACGAGCAACAACAGGGCGCAAGTCTCCTTGGATGGCGATTATAGAATCGCTGACCCTTCACAAGAAAGCTTGAAACCAATGATTGACTGGGAGGCATATCCACAGAATCTTGGCTTCTCGCTCGTGGACGATACGAGTATTCAAAACTGCTTCTCTGCCCAAGTGTATGCATATGCTTACGGTAGGCCCTCTGTACGGTAGCTGCAACCATGACGATTGCATCATTATTAGTATGGTCAAAAACACACGATGTGGGGCGAAAAGTTCTAGTGGATATGTTCTCCCTTAGCGCCCCCAAGAGTGTTCAAGATTTCATCGATACGAAAGCAAAGGAAAGTGGATATAAAGTGGGTCTATGTGGCCACGGCGTAACCATCAATTCGTCGTCTTCAGGACGTGGCGTTGATCTCTACCTTCTTTTGTCTTGGATGGAAGAGGGGTTCGGTCCGATTGTCAACCTTGCAGCAGATCAAGGAAACTCTGAATACATTTTCCGCAGCAACGGAGCTCTTTACCATTTCTGAGACTGATCGCTGGAAAAGGGTCACCCTGCGGTACATTGATGTCAGAGAGTGTATTGAGCACAGAAGCTAGCGTGGTTACCAGATGAGGAGGAATCAGGCAAGAACGATTTAGAAGATTAGGTAGCATAAAGCTCTGGATGAGTTCATGATAGCTAGCTAGATAGCCAGGAGGATATGATAGCTTCTTGAATAGGGCTTTCCAACAGACGTACGGTAGGCCTAGCTAGAGCGCAAGGCAGAAAATTATGATGCCGAACTCTGCAGGGCTTGTATCGAGAGCCAGTAAGGGTTTCCGCGAAGGCTTGTCTTCATCACCGGCCATGCCTTGTCTCCCCATCACTGAGAGAACTCACTTGCTTCAACCGAGAAGAGCCTTCGCCTCCATGACCCAGGATTTGACCTACAATCATAGTGGAGTGAATCGAATCTCGTGGTTGAAAGGAAGCGACGATCCAATACCGTACGCAGTGTGACTGTCACTTGTGCTTTGAGTACTTGTTTCTACACAACCAAAGGCTTGACCATGCAGCTGTGAGATGCTGCCCCAGTATCATTGGGGGGAGGAAGACGATGCAGACCATACAGTACCGGTAAACCCGTGGAACCAGGCTGGAAAGTGAACTGCTTCTATCAACCGTCGGAAACTCTAGCTACATGATGTAGCTAGCCGCCTCATGTCAGATGCCAACATAGAATTTTCAAATACGTGTAATGTCGCTCCTCATTTCCCACTTTGACGACGCGTTGGCAGCAAGTTACATGTACTTTCTGTGGTGCTTCTTGATACAAAGCAGACCGGAGCTGCGAGAAAAAGAGCTTAAATCTCCCTGGAGACATTCCTTGTCTTCATTTTGGTTCTTTCTAGCTAGACTAGCTGAACGGGATGGTGAGATGGTGGCTGATAATGTGGCTGGAGAAGTTTTCGACTGAGGCAGGAAATGAGGAGACCGAGCGAGATCGAGAGCATGGAAGCACCGGCATCATAGGCTCTTGAATACATGTAGAGACTTTGGACAAATAATTATTATTGTAAAATGGCTGTTCATGAGTTGTACCGTAGGGACGTAGGAACCGAATTCGTCCAGTTTCCGTGGAACGGGAGCGGAGAACCAAGCAAAGCAATCGACTGAGGCTGGAGCGACTTACTTGACAAGCTCTTGAGGACACAAGAAGGATCATTGGATCATACCAGTACATGTACTGCCTTCTTGACCGAAACATACATCACCCCAACTTTTCAGTACGGGTGGAACTATTAAATACCGTATAGATAGATGATGGCAATGACATCCCACACAGTTCCAGTGCGCAAGTAAAGTGTCGTGAAGCACGCACTATTAGTTCACCGAAGAAGAACAGCCACCATAGTAAAGAACGAACGAATCTGATGATGAGGTTGTAAAGAAGTCATCGTATGATGCGAATGCCACAAGTTTTGTCGTTGAAAGGGGCAGCGGAAGAAGCTTTGTCTGCCGCAACAGCACCGTGCACGTTACTGTGCTAGTGCGATGTCAATAGCAGCAGTAAAAATAGTAGCAGATGTAAAGTGAGACGTGAGACTCGCGAATAGTGCGAGCTTTTACTCAGTACTGTACAGCTTTGCGTCACCGTAAACACTGACTGCTCAATCTAAAAATAAGAATTAGGATGATAGTCGTACCGGTGTACCGGTGGCCATCTGGCTTTCCCAAGCTCGGACAAAGTAAGTGTGACTGCACCTTTGTATTACGAACTCGGTAAGGGCGAGATTTAACGCATGTCAATGAATCTGCGCACACTCTTTAAGCCAAGGCTGTTCTTGGGACATGCGCTGTGGGTCAACATTGCAGCTGTGCAAAGATGCTCTTCATCATGGGGAGCAAGCGGTTTTTTTGTCAATGGCTCTTAAGGGTCGCCTCGATCCACTGACTGGCAAATAGTATACTAGTAGTCACCGCCAGGGGGTTCGTTTCTATTTTAGTTTACTTGGCTGCAAGCTGCAAGAATACCGGGATTCGACCAGATGTGGAGAGCTGCACATCTGCACATGGTGTCTCCATTGCTGCCTCATAAAATTCACTCTTATAAGATCTTCAGATCTTCTTCTGGAGCGTCCCTCAATCGTGGGTGAGTTTTAAATCCGACCCAAATCCGACCCTAAATCTTTGAAACCCGACCCTAATTCCATGTAGCAATAGGGTCGGTTTTGAAACCCGCCCCTAAATCGAAACCCGTCCCTAAATTAGGGACGTTTTTTCAGAATCCGTCCCTAATTATAGGGTTGGTTTCGAAACCCGACCCTATTTTAGGGTCGGATTTCAATGTATTTACCACTCAGTCCCGCTTCCATTTAGGGACGGTTTTCAAACCCGCCCCTAAATCGAAACCCGTCCCTTAATAAGGGACGTTTTTTCAGAATCCGTCCCTAATTTTAGGGTCGGTTTCGAAACCCGACCCTAAAGGGGAATCCGTCCCTAAATCCGACCCAAAATTAGGGTCGGTTTTCGATATAAGTCATGCACGATTGAGGAACGCTCCAGAACAACCAAACATAAGTTAAGTTAAGTTGAGCATGTCAAAGTCGAACCATTCTTCGAACGAGGACTTGGAGGAGGAGGATGCCCCTGATCATGACAGCAACAGCAACAGCAAAGTCAAGGCTGCGTCCCTCGCAAAAGAAGACGATCTGCTCAAGTCGAAAGAGGTCAAGCCCGCAATGACGACTACCGGTATGACGAAGCAGCACTCCAAGATCATTACTACTACTACATGTAGTAAGGACAGGGACGCTACTAGTAAGCAATCCTTGAATGAACTCGCCGAGCACTCCATCGAGGACCTACCGGACGACGGACAGAGCCAAGAGCAGGACGACCAAGCCAACGTTCCCGGAGCTTACCACGTCTCGCACCCGGATGCTACGCAGGAAGACAACTGGTGGGATGACACTGACAGCACCATTGTCATTGGAGATGATACTACCGGTAGTGCTTACAACGTACTAGTAGATCCACCGCCTCTGCCGCCTCTCGACGAAGAAGTGGCATTGCCAGGAATGTTGGTCGAAGATGACGACGATGACGAAGATGGAGATGGAGATAGTAGTCGTGCGGACGCTGACGTGGAGAGTAGTAGTCAACTGGCAGTAGTAGCACTCCGTCGTACCGGTAGTACTAACGACCATGTCAGGATCTCGAGGCAGCATCCTCAGGGAGAGCTCATTGAGGGAGTCAAGGTCAAGGACGATGGGGACTTGAGAGGACAAGACCGTGCTTCCTCAAAGTTGGCCCTTGCAGGGATTCTCGTGTTGTCCTTGATTGTCATCTTTCTCATCATGGGGCTGGCGGGCGTCTTTCAGAAGTCATCCTCCCTGCAGCCTGGCAACGAACACGAACCACTATCTATACATGTAGTACCGGTAGAGCCCCAGGCATACCGAATGACCAATATCGAGCAGATCCAGGATGACGGACATCTCATCTGCTCCTACCCAGAGTTCATTGGAGTCATGTACAAGGATGAGAATGGACAATATGCGGGCTTCTTTGCAGCTTTTGTAAGTTCTACCGCAATGCTGTTTGTTCTGACCACTCCATTCTTCCATCATGCATGCACCTTTCTCACTCACCTTGACAATCAAAACACTCTCTCTATCTGTCGTTACTACCGGTACCGTACATGTTGTATGACAGTGCTACGCGGTAGCCGCAGCGCTTGGAGTGGATGTGCTATTTGTGCCACCCAGTGACATGAATGGCACCGACCCTCCCTTTTCCACAAATGGAATCACAATGGCACTCGAGGTCACAAAGGTACGTATGTAGACTATACGATGCCTGTAAACTCTCAATTACGTTGCTTGTTTGACTTCACTACCCAAGCCTTGCATGCACTTTCTGACCTCTTTATTCATTCATTCATTCATTCATCCATCGTGTCATGCACATGCAGCCATTCTCCTTCACCGTGCCCATTTCCTATGCTGGCTTGCAAATGGCGGGAGATCCCACTATCATTGAGCAATGTGTGGACAAGGGACTTTTACACACGGGCGAAATATGTTCGTCTCTTCGGGTCTGCCTACATTTTGACTCCAAGAACCATTACGAGGCGCTCTCCAAGCTAATGCCAGAACGATACTTTGTCCCTATTGACATGGAACACAATGCCACTACTTTTGCAGGTCTCATTGACGGCTCTTGCAATGTACTTGCTCAAGACAGCTTCTTCTTGGCTCCCATATTTGCTCAAATGAACGGATATCATGGTCCATATGCCATTAGTCAAACCATCTTTATCAAGGAGAATGTGGCATTGAGGACATCCAGTGATGATCCCGAGTTCCAGGACCTGCTTAACAGCATTGTGCAGGCACTCTTTGTCGCAGAGAAACTCAACATTACCAAGGACACCGCTCACTTGTTCCCTCTCACAACTGCCTGGGGTGATGGCAATCAAGACATGTTCCAAAACGTCATTCGTGCCGTGGGAAACTATGCCGACGTCTACAGACATTTGGAAGATCTCATTCCAAGGATACCCTTCAATGGAATCAATCAAGGAGATACGGGACTCTTGATGGCTCACCCAAGGGGAGATCTCTTACAGAAAAGGCAAGGCCCCCTGGATCCCACAATGCAACAGATTCTGGATCGAGGTGTCCTCCGGTGTGGCATTCGAATGAATCGGAATGGATTTGCCACTCGTACTAGAGAAGTATCCAGCCATGGTGTCAATACAACGGCATACGCTGGCATGGATGTGGACTATTGTCATGCCCTGGCGGCTAGTCTGTTTCAGGGTGATGCCTCAGCAGTAGAGTTTTCAGAATTGACAAATGCAACAGAGGGCTTTCAACTCTTGGCCCAAAATAAGTTGGATGTCTTGGCTGGAGCTCCCTGGACGCTACAGAATGATGTGAGGGAGCCCACAACGGGGCTGGGCTTTGCTTTTTCTCAGCCATACTTTTATGGCTACAGTGAGAAGGAAGATGCCCTTTGCCTGGCCACTCTTCAAGGAGCAGGAGATCGACATGACTGGTTATCCTTTGTGTACTGGACTGTGGCAGGTACATTTCTGGCTGAAGAGATGTATCTGAACAAGTCCACTTCAAACCAGATGCCACTGGTACAGCTCTTTGGCGAGGAACTGATTCGAATGTTCCGCGATTCTATTCTCACCGTTGGAAGTTCTGCAGACATGTATGGAAGAAATCTAGAGAGTATCATCCCTCGAGCTGGTCGCAACATGCTAAACAGAGAACCACAGTTAGGGCCCCAACACTACGCTCCCATTCCTGGATTCTCTTGAGACGATCCATTGAACCGGCCAACTCTACATCGTGTGACAATATATGTCATCATTTTTATAGTCTTTGCGATTCTTTTTCAGACATAGCTAGCTACTGTCATCCTCAGGAAGCTTGCACTGTTGAGGTGATAAGGTGCCTTCTAAATATAATAGTGGTCAAGAACATTGGAGGATCAGAGTCGAGTCTCTGACCTGCCACTCCTAACCCAAAATAATTTGGAGGAGTCTCCATGACTACATCCTGCCCAAAACCGCCAGCCACGAGGATAGAAACTATGGACGTGTGTGATGGGCAACACTTGCATTCTGGGTTACTCGGCATTTTGTCTATTTAAGGCTATTGTATCTGATTACAGAGTTTTTGTAAAAGTGGCTTATGTCTCACAATGTCTACGGATGTCTCACAATGTCTCACAATGTCTACCAATGTTTCACAATGTCTCACAATGTCTCACAATGTCTACTAATGTCTACCAATGTCTCACTTTGTCTACACAGTACAGTAAAACAGTACAAAAATGTCTCACTTTGTCTACCAATGTCTCACAATGTCTCACAATGTCTCACTTTGTCTCACAATGTCTACCAATGTATCATTTTGTCTACTAATGTCTCCTAATGTCGCACAATGTCTACTTTGTCTACTTATGTCTACTAACCCTGTGTAGACATTTACATAAGGATCACTTAACATCGCCAAAACACTTTCCCAAACAGACAAAATGCCGAGTAACCCTGGTGCTTTGCCGCTCACCTATGATACGAAGAACGGACTGACGCGGCGATTGAAAAAATGGGCTCAGATTCGATTCGATTCGATTCGATTGACATTCATGCTCTTTTGATTCTTTCCGTAACACAGCCATCAGGAGGTTGCACATACCGGTACGGAATGAGACTGAAGTTAGGTTCCGAGAGACGGACATACTAAGTAATGCTCTACTTCAATGTACGTAAAGCCAGCTGGCGGATCGACCGTTGACTACAATAACCAGCCAGTCGTGGAAAGGTTCAACAGTTACTTTTAAAATCTAGTACCACCACATACGTAGAAAATTCACGTAGAGATTTGAAAAAAACCGTTAAAAAGGCTGAGTACCACAACATCGTAGAAAAAATTACGTAGAAAAGCCGTTAAACGGCCGAAAACAGCCCAGTACCACCACATCGTAGAATCCTACGTGTTTATCAATTTTTGTACCAGGGACTCCTGTAGAAAAGTGCGTAGAGAAAACACAAAAATTTCAGTACTAGGCAAATCACGTAGAAACCACGTAGAAATGTGAGTACCACCACAATCGTAGAAAAAATACGTAGGACACCCATTAAAAACGGAAGAAACAGCCCAGTACCACCACCTCGTAGAATCCTACGTGTGGACTGGTGTGGACCAATGGAAGACCAATGATTTGATTGAAATGACTTTGTTCGCGAACCCTGACAGAGCCGCACTTGCGAAAGTGACGTTGCTATGTACGTACGATTACATGTAGGTAAAATGCTCGTGTCTGAATGAATGGAAGACATGACGCATGACGTCGTGACCGGAGGAAGATAGTGAGTAGCTGAAATGAATCGAATCTGATGTCGGAGTCATCAACGCAGTGAACCAACCCATAAAGCAGGGAACGGAGACTGGGATGCACTGGGATGCACTGTGGGTGAGGGAACCGGTGACCTGCATATCTCCATCAGAATTGTCGACCACAAGTGGGTTGGTAGTTTTTTTTTAAGGCAGACTACCAGTACCTATCTGGTCCGGAGGGCCTTTGTATGAATTGAGCCCCAGGGCCCAAGCAACTGAGATATTTATGTGGGTGGTCGCACGTCACGTCACGAGGGGAACAGCCTTCAGTGTCATCAAAACAAGAGGATAGGCTACCTCATAGAAGCACGACTATCTCCATCAGAATTGTAGACCACAATTGGGTTGGGAAAAAGCTGAAGCTCGCGGTTGATGACGACCGCAAACTGGTTGACGAGGAGGGCAGGGTTGGTAAGGGTTGTAAGACAAATCGTAGGAGACCTCTTACGGCCAAAGGTCCGCCACGACAACTGGAGAGTAGTCGAGGAGTCGAGTCGGTACGAAAGGCCGAGGCAACACGTTGGTCATGGTGGGCACGACCTTGGTTACGAAGAGCTTCGTTGATGGTGGGAGGAGCAAAAAGAGGGGCATGGTGGGCAAAGGAATGCTTGTAGCAAGCAAACTGTACTAGTAGTACTTGTAGCTATCTAGCTAGCATGTAGTAATATAATTCATTTTCTTACAAGTCACTTGAACAAGGCTACAATATCTCCAAGTTTGGCCATCCCCATGACAGCCGTAAAGACTGCCAACCACACGACCACACCATTGAGCTTCTCGCCCAAACGGCAAAGCTTCTTGTCCACATGCTTGATCTCTTTCTTGACCTCCTTGATCTGCTCAGTGAACTTCTTGTCCAAGTCCTTGATCTGCTCAGTGACCTCCTTCATCGCTCCCTGCTTCCATCCTTGCTTCAATCCGTTCCAATGTTCAGTACTCATAAAATTTTCTCCCGCTCCTCAATGCGAGTCACCCTTGTGTTCAGATCACCACCTTTATCACTGAATTTTGGAAGTGGTGGTCTTAAATGCAGAGGACCACCATGTTGACAAACGCCACACAATCGAATAATGGGAGTGACTGCTAGAAGGCCACAGAGGATGTGACAAGCAGAAGAAGAAGAAGTAGAGAATTCATGCTCATGTTGATACTACATGTAGTACTCAAATGGTGTTTGGTGGTACCGGTACCGGTACCGGTATTTAAACTAGTCCTTCGTTGATAGTATGGAGTTCCGCTTTAGTTCAGTTCGATTCATTCCTTCTTTTCTGCTCTGCTTGCTGCAATGGCAGAAGCCAGAAGACTGTGAACTGACCTTTTTGTGGAAGGGACAACCAGCATGTCAAATGACAACGTAGTCAGAAACTTTCGAGCGTCAACTATCCCTTGCGATCAACCTGGTTATCCGGTGACTCGGATTGTTGTTTGTGGTGATTTCTGTTTCCAAATCATGGGGTATCATCTCATCATCAGCATCTGCACCAGGCCCTCCTCGGTTGTCTTGGCCAATGAATTCTCGTCGTCGTCGTCGTCGTCGTCGTCGTCGCTTTCATCTGCCTCGCTCCCAATGGCAATGGAATGGTGTGAAAAGCTGCACAATAGAGCTCTCATGATGAGCAAACATGCAATACAGGAGGGTTGCGAATGATTGAATACTCGCTAGCTTCCGTAGATAATCAATAAACCACCTTCATCATTGAATAGTTGGTTGCCTCGGGCCTTCAAGCTCCGTTGAGACCTGGCTAGTCTAGTACATGTAGCTACTAGCTAGTAGACTTTGGCTCCCACCCCAGCCACGGCGATTTCGGATCTCGGATCTCGGGTCCGGTGGATCATGGAGCTCGGTGGAGCTCGGAGCTCGCTCGATCTCGGATCTCGGTGAATCTTGGCTGATCTGTGGGTGGATCTCGGCTGATCTGCCGGTACCCGTACCTACTAGCTAGTAGCTTGTAGTAGCTGGCTGGTGCGGTATCCTGTGCCTGACACAAGACATTTATTTCATGAAAAGGAACCAGTCTAATCGAGCATCGGCTAGTACTACTAGCTAGCTAGTACTAGTACTACGTACTAGCTACCGGTAGCTAGCTAGTACGTCGTAGTTTTGCTTGCTTCATTGACAAGCAAGAGCTGAATTACAGGACCGGACAACACCCAGCATCAAACCTCTCCACTGGCTTTTTACAAAGTACGTCATTTGAAGGTTCCACGTGGATCCATCCTGTCACTTCGGAACACGCACGTGGTCGCAACGAATGAAGGAAGAAAAAGATCTTTGGGATACTTTCTTCTCAGCCGTTGCGAGCGAACGCCAACAACCTCACAAACAATGATTAGCAGCAGTGCCAATGCCAATAATAATAACACGAGGTGTAACTCTGTGTTGCTGTTGCTACTGTACTTAGTAGTATTGTTCAAGATGTCGTCTGTACGCGTGGGTAGAATTTGTGTTTGCCAGGCCTTTGTTACCTCCAAGGCGGCTCCTCGTTTTCTTATCTCCAAGTCTACTAAGTTGATCAGCAGCAGAAGATTCTCCACGATTACCGTCCACGAGGAAAAACCGTTGGATGATCATGAGTCGTCGACGGACAATAGGAAACAGTCAAGTCAGATTGGCTTGTCTCTATTGGACACGAAATTGGGACAAACGAAGGAAGGCGTCGATTTGCTCGACGGATTGGACGTGTATTCCGTACCGGCGCTACAAGACCATCATCCCTTGGCCGTCTACGGACTCGACAGTACCAATCCTACGTCCAACAACACGACAAAAAGATACCCCATCTTACTGCTGCACGGAAGAACCTGGTCCAGCGTCCCCGTCTACCATTTGCTGGGAGGAAATAATAATGTCTCCCAGTTTCTTAATAAGAGTGAGGAAAACGACGACCATGACGAAACGGTTCACGAAAGCAGATCCTTCATGGAAGCTCTACTCGAAAAAGGATTGCAGCCATATGCACTCGATTTTAGAGGATTTGGAGGAACTCCCGCCGATGACACGGGATACGTCGAACCTCATCGATGTGTTCAAGATGTTCAGACCGTCTTGCAATGGATGGCCAAACGACACAACACAAACACAAACACAAACACGAACGTAGAAATGCCCGCCTTATTGGGCTGGTCCCAAGGAGCCCTCGTGGCTCAATTGGTGGCACAATTTCATCCCACTTCGGTATCCAAATTGATACTCTACGGATCCATCTACGATCCACTCGTCCGATATCCTAGAGAACCACTCTATCAGGTCAATTTGCCCAATACCAGTCAAATCACAAACACGTTCAACGATGCCATTGAAGATTTTACCGTACAAGGCAGTATTCCACCAGCACCAGCGGCACTCTTTGCCCAAGCCGCACTTGTCAGTGATCCCGTCAAGGCGGTTTGGAAACATTCCTATCAATTCAACAATTGCGATCCCGCCCGTGTTCATACTCCTTGTTTGGTCGTGGCGGGAGATCAAGATCCTTATGCGCCGTTGCACGTCCAACAAGATTTGTTTTGCAATTTAGGAAGAGGATCCGATCGCACTTGGAGTATTCTGGCGGGAGCCGATCATGCCGCCCATTTGCTCAATGATGTACGACAACGATTCGTCAATGTCGCCGTCAGTTTTGTTCAGAATGGTAAATAATAATAAAGAACAAGGCAGTAATAAGTAAGCAACATAAAACAAAATAAACGGGGAGAAGAACGAACTAACCAATAACAACAAGACAGCAATCAACAGTTTTGAAACAAACAATGACACAACAATTCATGTGGTTGCTTGTGCTTAGCTTGCGAGCGAGGTAAGAGTAGTCCAAAAGTTTGCAATCCAACAGCTACAATAAATACATAAATAAAAATGCCATTGCTCTACTGGTTAAACTTTTTTCTTTGTCGCTCAAGTCAATTCAATGGCGTCGTGTCTTCCTCCGTTTCATTTCATTTCATTTCATTTCATTTGCTCGTGCTCCTGACATTGTCGTGCTGTCACAGCGTTTCCCATCATACAGTATCGTTGTCTTTCGTCGTGGATGTGGGGTCGTTTATTATGGGTGATGCATTGGCTGTCCTTGTTTGGCTCTTGCTTGCTTCACTCCTGATACAGTACTGCAGGAGAGTCCACAAGAACCAAACGCATTGCGTCATCATCTTGCATCGAACACTACATGCATCAGACCCGTCTCCCCCAACAGCACTTGACCTTCTTGACTTTTTGCCCGATATGATATTATGTAGGCGCGACTCAATCTGTGGGCTGCAGAGTGTACTCGTTTTTTGTTTGTTTGTCAATGCAGTTGAGCATGCAGCTGATGGATGACAGGATGCGCCTGCAAAGGCGACTCTCTTATTCGGGTGATCTTCTGTCTCTAGCTAGTTCAGAGGCAGGCAAGCAAAAGCAGCATCCCTTACGAAGTGTCCGACTAAACTCAAGAAGTACCAAACAGCCTTTGTCCCTTGCAAATCGTTGAATTAGGACTGTCAAAACAGATGGGGAGCGCGCTATGGTCTACTGTATACATATATATTGTGTTTGTCTATTATTAGTACGTGTATAGCTGGCTTCCTTTGCGCTCCCCGTAGCCTGCGTTCTTTAATGACAGGACGAGGATGACAATTTACGCACTCGTTTGGGGCTGGATCGTTTCACTGCACTCCGTTCCGTGGTGCAATCCTCCGAGGCGATCTTGCGGGGCATTCGCTTACTGCGGCTCTTTCGGCTTGGTCGTGGTGCCACGGGTGACTTGTCGTCGTCGTCTGAGGATGACGTCCATCGTGCTGCATGCTTGGACGGGGACAAGGAGGCAGCCGAACGACTTCGGACAATGTCCACGAGAAGCTCACAGCAGTCTTCATCTTGTAGTATATCCTTGAAAGGGATCTTTTTGGTTGGACGAGGTCGACTGCCACTGCCACTACTAGGAGTCAAAAGCTCACAGTCGTCTTGCAGGATATCCTTGTAAGGGACCGGTGCCTTTTTGGTGGGGCATGGGCGACTCCCGCGGTTCTTCAGCAAGGGTTGATCCTTGCTGCTATCGCTAGTAATAGTTGTAGTACAAGTAGTAGTGCGAGCTGAACTCCTGCCACTGGCCGTGCCTCGTCTTCCACGTGAGCTTTCCTTGCGACGGAGCGGTTTGGGCATGGGATCACTGGCAGCACGTGACTTTGTACTGGCAGTACTGCTACTCCAGACGGCGTTCTTCTGAGGCTCTTGCTGCTGCTGCTGCTGAGGTCGGTTCCACTTGTGAAGGGCTTCGGATTGAATGCGGCGCAACACCAAGTTGTCAATGGAAGCTCTGGATCCGGACTTGTGCATCTTCTTAGTATGGGTAGAACTATTAGTAGAGTGGGGCTCTTCTGGAATCACCTGAACGTGAAGATTCATCATGTTGCACCGTTGGGCAAAGTTGTTGGTTTGAAGTGAGGCTGTCATCATCATTGTTGTTGTGTTGTTATTATGATTCCTGTTCATAGAAGGGATCATTGCTGTCTTCTTCTTCTTAGCTCTTGTGCTTGGTTTGTGAGATTAGATTGTTTTTATGAGCCTGCCTGGAGACAAAACGGAACCAAAAGGATGAAGGTAAACTGGTGGGTGACATCGGTTTCACTGTAGATTCGATGCAGTTCGGCTTCAACCAAAAAGCGAACCACGAAAGCTCCACGAACATGAAGAGTTCATGAAGAATAGAATGGGCCGCACCACCTGACTAGAGTGATTAACACTCACATTCCGCTAATCCAACAATTAGTAATGACGAACAACAAAAGACACCTACAATCAGTCATGATGAACACCTAAAGACAGAGGAAGAGTTCCGAGCGAAGGCACCAATTCGAACCCCTCCTCTGTCCAACAAGCTGTCCAACAAAACCTGCCTCCACCCATAAGTTCCATTCCGGTAACCCATACCAGACAGCTCCTCCGTACTGGTACCGGTACTGTACGGCCGTACGTAAAATACGTAGAGCTGCAGTAAGTCGTAAGCGGTACTAGTAGTTGGAAGTGGTACCGTTGCCGGTAGAAAGACAGTCCAACCGGAGGGAGTACTAGCTAGCTAGTAGCTAGAAGCCATCAGAAATCTTAACGATCCAGCTGCGATCCACTGTCCTTTTTACAATACACGATGTAATTGAATATCAGACCCTTCTGCTGGTTCTCTTCCTTCTCGTGGTTCAGAACTCCCGAGAAGACCACACCACCACGCAGGGCAAGGGGGCTCCCGAGCAACTCAATAAGCGTACAGCCCGGGCCCCTGGCTGGCTTCTCGACGAACAATCCCTGTATACATGTACTAGTATTCCGTATTAGTTCGCACCGTGTTGATTGGTGTTATAACCCAGGGGCAGGATTTTGGAAAAGAGGCCGATGCATTGGTGGAGCTAGATTCGCAGAAACTTGTTGAGGTTCTGGCACGGCATTCTTGTAGTATCCTTTGTTTGTTGCGAGTTGCCCTGCCTGCATGCCTTTTGGAGGGTGGCGTTGCTCTAGCTCAAGATGGCCGCAGGGGGGCATACGGATTACAACGACCGGTCCCGGCGTTTGGTGAGATTTGATAGATTCCCTTATCTAGAGCCAGCAGCACGAGGCTGGAACTGGGAAAAGAAGCTGCACCCGATTTATTGTCTTCGTACTGAAGGTCGACGGCAACCGAGGCTTCACCGAACGTAGTAGCGGTACGTGCCATCTCCGGTGTGAGTTCAACAAGAAAGCAATGGGAAGAAGTGCCCATCATCATTCAAACCTGGATTGGTAACAATGGCAGTCACCGCTTACTTCATGAACACCCGTCATGTTGAAGTCGGTTGCCTAAAGTGCAATCCTGGCTTTATAGACTTCCAATCATCGTTGTCTTTCATTCCAGTGAGAGCATCTTCAAGTGCAGGAGAACCGCACCTCCCAACCTTGAAGCCAAGAGAGCCTGTGACTAGAGTGACACACAAGTGAAAAAGAGCCCTCGTGTAAACAGGAGGCTCAAGTTTGCCTAACCATATATTGACTCAAACGATCAGTGCGCATTCAACTCCAAGTGCAGGTGTCAAGTCACCTGCTTAAAAATCCAGATCCGAGAAGTCACCGAAACAAAAACTATGAATTGTGTAGCCTGCATTGATGCCAAAACAACACTAGATAGCTAGGGAATCGTGCCTGTTTCGGTGGAGAGCAATCCAATGACTCCATCCACCATTTGTTGTCGTTTGTCGTTGCCGCTTGTTCGGTGATGATCCATGTGGAAACTCTGCAACAGTTTCTCCACTTGCGCTCGAACCTCTCGGAACATGACCCCAGATTGCGCCGCCATCGGCACTTCGATCCAGTCGTCAATGATGACCTTTCGTTCCGTGTGCTTGACTATCACGGTGCCTCCAAACAAAAGCATGGCAAATGGGTGGATGAAACTACATGTGCATGCGAGGATACGCAAGAGGAACAAGTAATAAGTGGAATAGACCATGCACTAGCCACGGCAACTTTCAAACATGCATGCCTTGTTATGACGTACCATGTCGTTGAAACGGAGGTTCGATGCTGAGTGCCAAACTTTTCATGGAAAGCAATCCAAGACGTTGGATAGCGATGAGTTGTCTTCAATTTGGCATTCACCGACGCTGAATGAAAGAAAAGCCTTTCGTTTCGATGCCACAGCTGCCGTTCACCGGACCCACTGGGATTTGGAGCCAAGTAACCGACATTGGGGTACAGACCAGCACAAATGACAGAATGGACAACGTCAACGTTGCCTGTGTTTGCATTGTAGGAACTAGACAGCAATGATTGAGACAATGAGGCTCTCTTGTTGCCTCCATCTGCTTCTTTGCCGAGCTTCTTGCGGTCCAAAAAGCCAATACCCATGAGAAGCTCCATGAAGTGTCTTCGCGTGTCGGCGATTTCACGAAGGGCAGAAAAGCTCAAGTAGTTTTCATAGCAGAAGCTTCGCGCCTTGGACACACCCTCCGACAAGGCTTTCTCGTATGCCTCCCACACATTGCAGAGTGTGAGAAAGTCAGAGTTCTCATCCCAAAACTGTTTGTGTTTTGCCTTGGCTTGAAGTGCATCACTGACAAAGGCAGAGAACGGGGACTTGCAAGAAAGGCTGGCAGCAGCAGTCAGAACAGGATCGATGCACTTGAACAGAGATCCATAAAGCAAAATCTTGCCAAGGCGAACATCAACGGGCAGACGAGCAAGGTGGCGCCCTAGTGGTGTCAACTGCTCGGATTCCCTTCCCTTCGTCTTATCTGCAATCAAACTGATTGCTCCAACATCACAAAGAATTCGCAGCGCAGACCGAACTGCTTCCTCCGCAGGAGGTTGCGGCGTTTCTTGAAGAAACTCCATGCAGGAGGAGGCAAAGGATCCAGCCAGAATGCTAAGACAGACGTCCTCCAGGGGCACTCGTCGAATCTCTGGTTGGGCGTTCTCTTTCATTGTAGCTGTGTCAGTCCACGAGGAATACAATTTCAAACAAATGCCAGGCTGCACACGACCAGCTCGTCCAGCACGCTGCTTTGCGCTTGCTTGTGAGCACCAGTCGGTTACTAGTCTGCTTGTGGAAGTTCTCTTGTCCACACGCACTTCTCGAACCCTCCCGGCATCAATAACTAAAAAAACGAGGTGAGGGCCTCAAACGAAGCATGTTCAAATAGCGACGAGAACAACGACTCACCGCAGACAACGTCAGGAATCGTCACGCTCGTTTCTGAGAGAGAATAATACAACAATTATTGTCAGCGTGGCTGTCTCGTGTAAGGACTCCTCGATCATGCCGTATCGTAGTAGTGTTCTCACCTGCGATGTTTGTCGCAAGTATCAGCTTTCGACAGCCCTTTCGGGGTTTCAAAAAAGCCCTTCGTTGGTCCTGAGGGGAAAGGGTTGAATGCATTGGTATGATATCGAATCGTTGTTTGTTTCCAAAGCTTGAGCTAGCCGCCAACCTCTCTGTGAGCGCTCGAATCTCTCCAAAACCTGGGAATCGAGTAGCAGGCGGAAGTGTAAGGGATGTGGAAGCGTAAGGGACACAAACAACGTCTGTACAAAACATTTTCTCTGCCCTTACCTGGAAGGAACACGAGCACGGCACCATTGGAAAGATCAGCTCCTTCGGGCGGCAAAAGGTAATCATTTTGCTCGGGTTGAACGAGAAGCAAATGCAGGACGTCCTCAATCAAGTCATAATTGATGATCTCTTCATTCACGCGGGTCATGGACCTGTCAGGATTGGGTGAAGACAGCAAATGGTGAATCTTCGTGTTGATGTTCGGGGCATATAACGCATACTCAGCCGCATTCGTACCTCCTTGTCGACATTTTGTAGCCTGGATAAAAATCTTCGGGTAAATCTCCACTGTGTGCCCCGCCCTGGTCCAAGGAGTGCATCTCCTTGCGCTTTTCACCGCCCCTCGTTGTGATTGCAATCGATGCAGTGCCTCGATGACCGCGATCCTCGCGCAAAGCGTACCGCGATCCCTCCTCGACAATGTGGTTGGTTGCATCCAACATGTCTTCCCTACATAATTATATGAGCATGGTCAACCAAAAGTTAGAAATGATTGATGACGGAAACATCGAGCTCTTCACGGCAGTCTATCAATAGTACGGCACGGTACCCACATGTGAAATGTTGACACTGGAAAGGTTCGACCTGGCACGTTCAGAACGGGTGCGCCCCCAAAGAAGGATGCAAACAACTTTGCATCCAAGGTTGCGGACATCTTTTTTGTCCACAAAGGAGCCGTTAGTCCATTTACATGCAACCATTCTCTCTTTGTAGTAGCACAGCAGAACTTCAGTTCCTTACCAGTATTACTTTCAAATCTGGCCGTCCATTTCTCAAGAGCTTGCGAAGCATGACCAATAGACAATCCACCTATATGTATGGACCGTAACACAAATGTGTTGTAGTAGTCAGAATGAAAAAAGCCAAAGAGAAACTCCATATTGCACCTGCCATGCATACATGCATGCGTACTTACCTGGTATTGCCGTTCGTGCACCTCATCCACACAAACGTGAGAGATCCCTTTCAGCAGTGGATCGTCCTGAAGGCGACGCAAGACAACCCCCGTGGTGCAAAATAGCAGACGTGTCTTGGAGCTTCGTTTGGCTTCAAGACGAATTTGGTACCCTACCGTTTGCCCCAAGGCAGGTTCTCCCATTTCTTCCGACACACGCTCGGCTACCGATGTTGCTGCCACCCTTCGTGGCTGTGTGCACAACACTGACACTTTGTCACCCATTCCCTTGGCAAAAGCCTCTTCCAGGATGAATTGGGGACATTGTGTCGTTTTACCAGCCCCAGTCTTTTTCACGCACGCAGTCAAGCAAGCCAGACGAGAGGAGCAACAGTCGATTCGATTCGAGTCAGTACGTGAGACATTATGTAAAAAGCCAAATGAGTGGAGGACATGTTTTGTTGATTGAAACGGTGCATTCATCCTACCTCTGCACACAGAATCGTGACGGGGTTCTGGTCCACGGCCTCCAAGATTGGATCGCGAAAGGAATACATGGGAAGTCCCTTTCTTGCCTCGAGCATGGATTGGTACACGGTAGATTGCTGCTGCCGGTTGAGAAATTCGTCCTGAATGGCTTTTCCTGCCCGCGAAACCACGCCGTAATGATTGCTGTTGCTGCCTGCATCCTTGCCGTCCGATCTACTGCAGGATACTGCGACACCCTTAGTACGGATTGGCTGGTCGTCGTCATCGTCATCCTCCCATGTATCCCGCACCAAATCCTCTGTGTCGTCCGATTGTTGTGTCTCTCTCTTATTATTGTTGTGGTTCTTATTGTTCTTGGACTGGTGCACCTTCTTCTTTGGTTTTGGCGCGGCATCGGCCAATTGTTGTATTTTGGCTCGCAAGGCGTCATCCACTTCTCGTTGTTGCAACTCTTGTTCGTCTTTTACGGCATCCATCCATGATCTCCAGAGGTCTCTGTAAAAGGGTGGCATGATTCGATAGAGTGGTAGATCTGGTTCCAGTTGGTAGAGTACCTTGGTCGCGAGGTACTGTTGGGCGTCCTTGTAGGACGGCATGGCATTGTTGGTTTCCATTTTGATGGGATCTGGTTGGGTGTCGACCCGGACCCTGGCCCCATTCTGGCCTCGTAATTGGAAGAATTGTGGCCTTTTTTTAATCTTGTTCTTTTGGCACCAATCCTGTAGAATTTGTTGTGGTGTTTTTCCGGTCCATCCTTTGGGAATCGAATCTAGGGGGACCACCGGATCTTGGTTGTTGGATGGTGGATCTTGTTCTGGTTTGTCTTTTGTTGTTGGTGCTGTTTTGCCTGGCTGGATCGTAGTAGTAGTATCTGTAGTGGCACTGGGAGGAGAGACTTGGTCAAAAAAGGAAGCAAACATGCCTGCTTCTTCTTCTTCGTCATTGTCGGTTCCAAACAACCCTCCGCCGTAGTCATCCCCTGGTGGTTGTGGTGGTTGTGGATCCTCTGTCTCCTGTTCGTGTTTTGCTGGTGCAACGACTGCAACTGCTGCAGCAGCCTCTTCTTCCTCTTGTGCCTTTTTCTGTTCTACCCTCTTTTTCAATTTTTGCACTTGCTGTCTTAGTTTCTTGGTGCTGTTTTGCAGTTGTTTGATTTCTTGCTTACTCCTCATGTAGTTGTTTGCATCATTGTGAAGGTCCGCCTCCTGTTCCTGTAGTTGTGTTTGCAGTTCTGCAAGTCTTTTTTCTTGTGGATCCACGATTGCTGTACCACTAGTAACAATTTGATGTGGTTGTGGCGTTTCTTGTACACGCAAAGTTGTTTCAGTTTCAGTTGCCAAATGGGAGGAGGATGGTGGTGCATGATCTTGATCATCTTGTTGGCCTTCCTCTTCATACTGGTACTGCTGCAGGATCCACGCCTTGGACTCCTCAGAAGCCTTGTCATTGCCATTTTGCTCCTCCTGCAAATCTATAGAATCTTTTGTGTTGGGATTTGGAGCTTCAGCTGCCCGTCTTTGAAGATATTCGTTTGGATCCTGCTGGATTGGTAGTGTGTCTTGTTCAACTGAATGTTCTGGTAGCTTGACAGGCTTGACCAGGTGCACTGCCAAAGGGCCACTGCTTGCACTAGCTTGCTGCTGCTGTTGCTGCTGCTGATCCAACCGTACAGTTCCTTCTGTAAAGAGAGGAGGCAATTCTTGGGTATCCAAATGCAAGCAAAGCCAATCCAAGGCACTTTCCAAAGTCACCCCATATCCCAGAGCCGCCACGGCCCGTTCCATTTGACCCAGAGAAAACCCCCAGTGGTCCAACGTAGCGTGAAGGCCAACCAGTTTCTTCCAGAACCGATCTGGATCATATTCATACACACTAGTAGATGTACTACATGCAGTATTGCCATTGTCATTGCCATTGTCTGCTTCTAGCAAGGACAAACTTTCCAACAGCTTTTGCAAATCTTGATGAGTTTCACCAGACACTGCAGGCTTATTTTTCTTAACATGGAGGGCATGTCCAGCGGCAGCACTCTTACTAGTGGTTGCGTTACTGCTTGTACTAGCATTTTTACTGTTAGTAGAGTAGCCTCGTTGATTGCTTTGCTGCTTCTGCCGCTTCTTGTTCGACTTCTTGCCCATGGTCGACCTATTGATGATAGTCGCAAAAGATTTTTGTGGCGCTCCTCGCGAACGGGTGGATGGACTAATTTTAAAAGCCAGCTAAGTTTGGTAAAATACAAGGATCCTTTCAATCCCACTGCAATCTTCTCGGGTCTCTGATTCCGCTCTTTGCCCCATTCACAAAGGGCATCGTGCCCTGCCCTCGAGCTCTGTCCCCATCCTAATCTTAGCTCTCTCTAATCCATAGTAACTCCCCATTGCACAGTTCACAAAGGACAGAAAGCATCCCGTACGGTACAGCGTACGATTGTTGAGCTGCTGGCGTCGTTGCTGCTCCGGTGATGCTGGTTCAGCCAAATGCACGATGAGCCGAGTCTGAGTCTGCGGAAAAGTAAACTCGAGTCGAGTCGATTCGGCCGTGGACGCCCTTACGTGCGACATGTACAGGTACCTGACTTACTTGACTCATAGTGGTACGGTACATGTGCGATGATCAAGACTGAAAATGGAGAGTGAACGGGGCAGCACGACAATGGACTGCTCATACGTGATGACTGGTGGTCGGAGAATCGGAATCGAGCCATGTTGACGGGTGGCAGTATGTGTATGCACGAGCGGACCGACTGAGACTCCTCCGAGTCTCTTCAATGGCAGAGTCGAGCCAGTCTGTGATGTTAGAACCTCCACATTGGGATCTTGTTGGCATCAGACCTGTGGAACTTCTGGCTCTTGTCTCAAAACGAGCAGGTCTCTGGTCCACGCCGTATCTTATTAGTTCTACATGTACATCGGGAACATTTTACAGCTGGACGGTTCCATTTGTACATGTATTTGTGCAGGGCTTCTGCTGATGTTGGCTCTCCCGGTACCACCTGACCCTGAATCCGAAGGATCAACTGGGTTTAGAGTTGGTGGATTATCCACGGAAGCCAGCGAGGGCCAGGCTCTGAATGGTTTGTGATTGTTTGCCTCTAGAAGATCATTATCATTAGTTAGTTGGATTGTTACAACATGTAGCTACTAGTATGGTCTTCGCTTGTCTTTGATGCAATGAAGGCGAGAGACATGTTAGCATGTGCGGGGTATCTGTTTCTGGGTTTTGTCGGCCCGAGGGCTCATCTTTTATTGTTTCTGTTTCTTGTGTTGTGCTATGTTATGGCGTAGGCAGTGGAGGACCTAGCTAGACCTCTGTCATCTCGAATGCCCAAACGGGTGTCAAGGCACCAACAGCAAAAGAGTTGGTCACACCGTACCAACCATACATCGACACCATATGTGGTTCCATCACAGTATCACATGCATCACAACGACGGGCGGCTTGTGGCGGGCGAACCAGCCACGTTGAAGACTTCTTCCAATACGAGTGCTGCGGATCTCCATTGTCGTCAACGAGGAACTCTTCCTCAGTCGTCGTCTTTCCTGTCTCGGGGTCAACCTCTTTGAGGATATAGAACAGTCCGTGAATCCAGTATTCCACAACATATTCACCATTTGGTTGGGTGGCCCATGCACCCACTCCAACAATGCGATGGTGTTTGTCAAAGTTCACTGTTCTTGAATCCTCAGAATCAACATGCTCCTTGTGGGCAATATTAATCTGCTTGTCGAATCCGTTTTTCTTGTAGTCAATGTAAACGGCTATCAACACTCCATCTGAGTTATACTATACTGTGTGTGAATGGCAGAGATGCGGTCTTGGATGTGACCCCCGTTTCCCGTGTTAAATTGTTTCTCAATCTCCGAAATGCCATTACTATCTTCATCATTGGATGGTGCAAGGAATGGTGTGATGCCAGAGGGATCAAGTGGCAGAAAGCCTGGGAGAGGTGATGTTGCCGCACGAATGCGCTTGACTCCTTTGTAGCCCGAGTCTTTGTGCTGACTGTTCTGCAGATGCCAAAGAGGGACCATCGTTCGATTCACCGCAAGGAACTGTGCCTCAAAACCTTTCATCATACGATTTCAGCAAACAGTGACTGGACTGAGTAAACATTTTACTGAAACAGGTCACCCACTGCCAAATCGCTAAAGCACAGGCTCTATCTCACCTTTCATTACGACCGCTCGGTAGAGTTTTAAGAACTTGTTGGCTTCCTCGTCTGCACAGCTTCCATCATGCTTGGCAAACGCTACCAGAGGGGGGTGTTCAGGGCCTCCAAGCCCGCGGCATGCGTCGTCTAACACCTTCGTTTGATAGACGTGGGGACATGTCGCAGTCCAATGATCAATCCTTCTGTCAGAGCAGTCTTTCCAACTTTCACACTCGTACGTGATCTTGCCCTTTCGAATCGAATCGTATGGCTCTGGAAGCGGCAGCGTGGGTCAACCTGATCATTTTATTAATAAAGTCGTCAAGGTGGGTCTTGGCCTCGGCTATGAATTCGTCGTCTTGTTTGACACCGGTTGCATATTCATGATGGTACGTATTGAGAACATGAAAGCTGATGCAAGTTTGCCCAACCGTGCCCATGTATGGGAGGATGGCTGCAGGGCTGGCTCCATCAAGGGGCGTGGCCAGATCCTCCTTGAGCGAATCGCACTGATCTAGCTAGGACTACTGTCAACGCCTCTTCACAAGAAGCGGCGTGATGGTCTGTCTTGTCATCTTCGTAAACCTTTTTGGCATCGTCGTAGACAACGACCCGATCTTTCAACACTTTGTAATGTCTCGCGAGAGTGTTGAGCGTTACCTCGGACTCCAACTCCTTGAGCCTGCCCACAAAGTAGTTCTTCAGCTCCTGAGCCAGAGAAGAGAAAAGTTAACACTGCTACTATGAGTAGGTTGACATTGCAATCGAGAGACTTGGCTTGAAAATAAACTCACATCAAACGCATGCTTGATTTGGGCATCACCGGAACTCCCGCCCATGAAGGCGTCTAGAACAGAAACACCGATGCCACCAGCAATAGGAAACTCTGTCTCAATCGCATACTCAGCGAGGTTCAGTGCAACTTCATCGGAAATGCAACCGGCTCCACAAGTTTCCGAGGAGCCAGGCTCTGTCAACGGAGGAGGCGCCAGACAAAAGTTATTATTCTGGGCCACCACACCCGCAAAGAGCGGAATAAACAGGAAGGCCAGCAATTTCATTGTCGAGGCTCACTTTTACTATCCACTTCGAACTTCAAGTAATTCTCGATACCGAGGTAGGTGTTCAACATGCAGTTGTGAGATTGTAGTAGCTCTTCTGGTGCATGCATTTTAGTCGGTGAGCAACGGTAGCTCTAGGTAACATGCCATATCGTATCGTTGGTGTGTATGAACAACTCCCGAGCTACCAGGTACCAGTACCAGGTGGTATTCTAGAGCACGGTACATTCCGCTGTACCAGTGCGGTCATAAAGCGATCTTTCGCAGCTAATTGAAATCTCATCAAACCAGCTTTATTTGGGTGTGTATGATTAGAGCTTGAGCTACCCTGGGAGACAGTTTTGACGGGTAGATTAGGTAATTTTAGAGTTAACGTTTACCAATTTTGTTTTACAATAATGTCATGTACAGTACAAGAATATATTTCCCGCAACTACCTCGACTAACTTCCAAAATTGTCTTCGTTCCAGGATTGTCAATGGTCATAGATCTGAGTATCTAAATGAAATCTTATCATGCCGTACCGGAGTACTAGCTATTCATAGTTAGTACTCGTACAAGACTATTGATGACCATCGAAACTGGTCTGACGGTCTGACCTTGCTACGGTAGTACAGTCGTAGGGAGGTGTCCTGGTGGTCGCATTCTTCTTCGAGTGATATCCGTCTGGCCCGGCGTTGGGGAGTGTGCATGTCACAAGATACTTTAGAATTGGCTCGCAAAGCACGAACTATGCTGTTTACCGGTATCCGATCGTTCAGGTAACCGAAATGAGTATTTGTTTAAATTACGGTATTATTTTAAATAGCTAGTTTCAAAACAGAAGCTACGACTGTACCTAATACATACCGTACCAGGTTGAGGTACCGGTATTAACATTGCATTTTAAAATATTGAAAATTATTATCGGGACTGTGAAATCAGTCCCGGCGCGCACTAATAGTGCGCGCCGCGCACTAATAGTGCGCGCCGCGCTCTACATGCATACACGAGAATAACTCGTGAGTAAATATTGCCCCTCCACGAGCAAATATTGCCCCTCCACGAGCAAATATTTCCCCTCCACGAGCAAATATTTCCCCTCCACGAGCAAATATTTCCCCTCCACGAGCAAATATTGCCCCTCCACGAGCAAATATTTCCCCTCCACGAGCAAATATTGCCCCTCGGGACTGAATATGACCCTCGGGACTGAATATGGCTCTCGAGGAGGTTGTGAGCCTGAAAGTGTGCGGATTGGTTGGGCGGGTTTTGTTGGGGACTGGGCCACTCGGCTTGTCGATTTGTCAAGAATGGGATGAACCACTTTTGTCCACTTGTCACTCATTCGTTCTTCAACCGCGATACAACTATCGATAGCAGTACTAACCTCGGAATCCACACTATCATACTTCGTGGTTTGCGAATTTGTCGTCCCAGCCAGCTAGAGTGCTGCAGGCGCACAGGTGGAAATCGAAAGGCACACCTTGACCGCAACATCTCATTTTACCATCGGCTCGGATCCATTCTCCACAGACAGCCCAGCTAGCTAGGGCCACTTATTGGAGGATTCTCGTGTTGAATACTTACTGTACTTGTGAGCGATTGCGAGCGATTAACATTTGGAGCGAAGTCCGCCTTGGTACAGTACTGGTAGTAGTACAGAGAACGACAGCATGCTGGAGCACTAGCTACTAGTAGCTCAACCTTGGCAAAGTCCCCTCGGCCTACTCACGAGTCCATCCGATACGACACAAACCCGGCTAGCTAGTACTTGTGAAACTGCCCACATTTGGGCAGGAAGACTTTGCCGTACTACGAGAGTGTGGGCGAAATCTGCATAGCTAGATCGGGAAAGAGTGGAGCAGGCAGGTGGCACTGAGCATGGACACGAATAATCTGGACGATGACGGTGTCAATGGAGAGAATAGGAGGGGACGAGGAGCTTCGTTGCCGTGTGTCTGGGATGACCACGCTGCTTTGGTGGCGAGGGTGGTTGCAACCGAGAGAGCAGATCTAACTGTTGGCTAGCTAGGGTCGGTTATATACGGTACTGTACGGTGATAGTTGCTACCATCCAGCGGAGATTACGTCCCGTTTCATGCTCTGGCTAGTGGTACCTGGTGGTTATTAATAGTAGCCTCTACCAAGTGGGAGGGGGTGTCCTACAGGAGCGAAGGGCGGGATGGTATACCACAGGTTCTGAGCGGAAGTTTTCTGCCTCTTTGAAAAGTAAGCTATGATACGATGCGGAAGTACCCACGATGTGCCTGGTACCTATCCCACGGTGTAGCGAGCATGACGCGGATTGTATTCAATCAATTTGCTTGCTTGCAGCAGATGGCTGTCAGCTGTCAGTGTACTATTAATACGGTTGAGGACAATGGGAGTCACCGATTGAAGCAAAAGACAGAAGTGTGATGCAGAACACCGAGGGCAACCACCGCACAACGGAGCACAAGCCAACAGTAGACCGCCGAATGACCAAATCATGTCCACGACATCAGTGAGTATAAAAAGAGATAAACTATGGCGAATGTATAGCTAGTTAGTTGGCTGTTAGTACTGCTTGTTTTCTGGTCTGTCTTTTTTGTCTGTCAGTGTAGATTGCATTCTGCGAAATGTGGGTAATGTAATGCAATGCAATGCCTTACCAATCATGTTCTGGATCTCTGGCCCTGTCCTTGCGCACTGCATCTTCCATTTTGTGTTGGTATTCAATCTTGTCCTTGTCTTCGTGTTCCGCAGCATCGTCAATAATGTGTTTGATTTCTTCCATTTCTTCTTCAATGTGTCCATCGACTTCTCCATCGGGACTGTCGACGGCAAATATCTTTTGGGCTTCTTCCATTTGGACGTGCAATTTTGCCAATCGTTCTTTGATTTCTTCCTTACTGACTGCCACTTCTTCCAGCAAGACTTGAATCTCCCGCAATTCATCTTGCACATGTCCATCCGTTTCTCCATCCGTAGCATCCACGGCCATGGGCACCAATCGCTTCAATGCTTGACGATTCTTATCCGCTTTATTCAAATTGTCTTCCAACAAACCCTCCAAAATTTGAAACTGATCGTGCATGTTCGTATCGTCGCTCGTCGCGTTGAAGTAGTCCTTCTTGGGTTGAGCACTGCTGCTGTTCATGGCACGAGCCACAAAGAGACGACTACCGGCTCGAGATGCCAATGTCAGAGTGGTGCGACGGGTCAAAAGTAAGGAAAGGGAGCTCATGGTCAATCAATAAATGTATGGTACTTTTGGGGTTTGCAAGTTTATTTGTTCTGAATTTGTTTTTGGTTGCTTTTTGGTTTGGTTTGTGAGCTTCTCAGCTTCCCTTGCAAGGAGGTGAAAACCGTTCGAGTTCGCATCTGAAAGATCTCTTCGGAAGCCTCCAAAAGAGAACGCAAATGTCAAACCTTCAATGATGCCATATGCCATCATCGACGATCGACGGGCGATTTCAGAACTGACAACCTGCATCCCGAACAGGAAGGAACAGCCGGAACCTTATCAGGGCGTTGATCACAGAATAGAAACGTCCGAGCTGCTGTTTCCTACCGGTACCCCACCGAACAGTCGAAGCTTGTGGTTGGTTCTAGCTAGCTACAGCAGCCATCTCTAGCCATCTCTAGTAGAGATGGCTGGAAAATGTCATGAATAATAGTGGAGTGAAAGGTGAGATTCTCCATGGAACTGTCAAGGCTTTGCACCTCTGTGCTGGCCAAGGAAGTACCGTACTAGCGACAAGTCAACCGAAGCAACGATTGACAGTTGACGACGGAAGGAGTTGCCAGTGTACAGGAACAAGATTATCAAGCATTGTTGGGTTGACTTATTCTCCTATTGCATGCTTAGTAAAGTCCTGCACCCCTACGAAACAATCTGCGTTCCTTGCATTGGCGATCCGATGATAATCGATATCGCTTGCCTTCCGGTGTGCGTTTTCATCAACATCATTGGGGGCAATTTGCACTCCTCCGAGACATGGATATTGAATGGGCATATCTAAAGGAGTTAGATATCTATGTCTTGTCACGAGGACTACAATGGATGCCCTCCTTGACAAGGCGGCCAAGTGGGGGTTCCCCGGTACCGGTATGGAGGAGAGGGAGCTGCGACCCATTGTGGAGCTACTGAGCAATCCTGCCTCCCAATGGAAAGAGCTTCGACCTTGGTGGATTGCACACCAGAACAAGCCTGGGACCGCTGTTAAGTGCAGTGACAGGAAATGCCACACTCGAGGTGTTGGGCCAATACAGAGGGGACGACATTGGTGTGCTATCTTCCATTTTAAAATCCATGTGACCTTGAACAACTGGTGGAAATCCTACAGAATCAAAACTTTGCGCTGAGAGAGTGCCCTCTTCTTGTCTTGGTAAATGAGATTGAGGAAGAGGTTGGAAATCAGATGCTCGATCCCTTGCAAACGCTGGAAAAGAGAAAGCTGCTGGAAAAGCAGCGATGGAGGAATGCACAAGCTCAATTCTACAGTACCTGGATCTGAACAAAATTGGTTGGAGGCAGTTGGTTTTAGATAACGATCCTGTGAACCCCCGTCATTATTTGGTGCAGGCCATCATTTCTAGCAGGGGCAATCCCTCTGTTGTGCACCATCTCCTCCTCCATGATCCCTCCATTCTTGCAGCCCCCTTGTCTGATCCTGTTGGAGCTGCCGTACAGTGTACAAGCTGAGCCAAGAACCGGTCCGAACCAACATGCTGTCTGGCAGTAATGCTGGCTTTTGAATCGCGATGCTTCCGCTGGATCGAGAATGCGAATGCTCACTCCATGCAGATCTGTGATAGTTTCCTTGTTGTCCATAATAGCAATACTAGCTAGCTGGTATCTCATCTCATCTCATCTCATCTCATCCGACCTACATCAGTACATCCTTATTAGTTAGGGCAACATCATTCACAATGGATCATCTTCTGAGCAAGGCAGGCAAGTGTGGCCTGGACAGTGATTTGGCGGATCTCGCGATTGGGGGATTCCTTCACGTGTTAAAAGTGAGTGAACAAGAGGAAGAAGCGGCCTTGAAGCCCATTCTGGATTACTTGGGGGACGACGCCCGCATCAACTTGAAACAGTACGAAAAGAACATGGACCATAAAGGATTTGCTTTTCCCACGCCCATTCGAAATTTGCTGCACAAGCCTCCCAGCGCCAAGGAGAAGGATGCCCAGCACACGAAGCAAATGATTGATGCACTGGATCGAAAATTTGAAGGCTGCAGTCCGGCCAAACTGGTGAAATTCATGAAACTGTTTATTGCATACCTGGAAGAAAATGTCACAGAGGCGGTGGACTTGGACGCTGTGTTGCAGTATTCTGTACCCAAAAAATAATGAGGGCGTACTACAGTCCGTAACATTTTTAAAACAGTCTGACTGTACAGTATTTTGGTATCGTATGGTCCTTCTCCATGCAGCTACATGAAGCTAGAATGCAGTAGGTTTTGAACTTTTCTATTGTGTGCTTGTACTTCTTATTAGTTAGTCTTCAGCCATGTCTAAAAGTCGGATCCAATGGATAGCCGTGCCGTACCCGGACCAAAGCGAACGGTTTGCTCCTATATAAACCCTGTCCTTTTTGCACGAACGTCCTGATATGATATGTATCTCTTTGGATAGCCCAGTGGTTGTACTATTAATAGCTAGCTAGCTCGAGCCTGGTCTTTGTGGCTTTGGTTGTTGCGTCGTGTCCGGCCACCTAGACGACACGCAGCAGCAGTTTTGGAAGGTCCATCTTGGGTTGGATCTCTCGGATCTTGGGGATTGTTTCTTGGTCTCGGGCGATTCCAAAAAAGCTGAACCGAGACCCGAGATCCAAGAACCGAGATCAAGACCCGAGCTCTACATAGACTTACTCGAGATGGCCAATTTCATCCTCACCATAAAGAAGCGTCCAGTGCTCTCCCTCATATGGTATGGTACCGGTATGGTATGGTACCGTAACAGGAGAGAAATCGAAGCGTTGAGTGATCAATCGATCTATTGAGTCGATCGATCGCACCTCTACTATACTGGTACCGGTACCGTACTATGATGATTCACTCCGGCCGATCTTCTCAGGTGCAGAAATGCAAGCCATCCCCCACCTCAGCTAGGTTGTCTGCAGTTGACCATCAAGTTGGAGAACAAGGGTACCGTACCGGTACGCCTCCGGTTCTCCGGTTGTCTGCAGTTCAGCACAGATTCAAGTTGGTGAATTTGAAGAGCAAGGGGCTATTTGTTGTTTTCTCTGCTTCACTGTCGACAGGCGACGAAATTCCAGTCCAGTCCAGTCTAGTCCAGTCCATCGAAGGATCGATTGCTGCGGATAGCAAGAGCTGTCAGCAGCCTGAACAGATCTATCTATTGTCACCGCGAATCATTTGAAACGCAGCCGGAGAAGACGAAAATTCACAGAGGAGGCTCCTTTGTTATTCCTATGCATATTTTGAATACTATTTGCTTTCGAACAAGTCCTCGAGTACCGGTAGCAGCCTCGTATTGTTGTTATCCGGAGCGATCGATGGTTCGCGAAGAACTCGACAGTGGTATTGTGTTTCCGTCGTCTCCTGTTGCGTTTGACACGATTTGTTGGGCGTTCAATGGTGCCAGCTATCGCCGAAGAAATCTCGGGTGACTCCATGGATCTCGGCTACAGGCCCTTCGGTCACCGGTGATCTCGGTCTAGATCTTGCTTAATCTTTCCCACTCTCGGCTTGGATCTCTGGGATCTTGGGTGGCTCAACTCTTGGCCAAAAACAAAAAACTGCTTCCTCTGTGTACCCGATACTAGTCTAGTATATTTGCTTGACCACTTTCCAACGCATGCACGAGCAGCTGTGACCACTTCTTTCTCTCACGGTGGACCACAGGATGCAACAATTGACAGCCTTGCGAGCTTGAAGGTTGCGAAGCAGCAGACGATTTTGTTGTTATTTGTCGCAGTTGTTGTTCTTGGCGCTTTGGCTACGGTACTGTTGACAACTCGGCTTCGTATGGCCTGTCAAGTTGAACGATGCTATCCCTTTGAGAACACCAACAGGAAGAATCAAGTTTGATGAGAGCAGTGACCAACCTTCAGCTCCTGGAAAGTCCTTTGGTGGGTCGATTGTTGTTTTTGTTCCAGATGCGGTCGACTCATTGGACTGACTCATGGCTTGACGTAGTGTAGCCTTGACCCTACCGTATACAAAAGTTTGGTTGACTCCGCGGCATGGTCATTTGCAAAAGGCTTCGCTTCGTTTTCTGCTAGCAAAATGTCAACTCGACCCCTCAACTTTTAAAATTAGGACTCCAAGAAGGATTTCCCGCCTGAGATATTTTCTGAGGCAATTAAAGATCTTAATGTCAAGGCAAACCAGTCTCGCGACAGTTTTGGGGAACCTCCTCTTAAATATACTCACACGCAGCTTTTCCACGAAAAGCGAGGTCCAAGAGCCGAGATCGGCCTCATCATTTTTTAACTTGGAAAAAAGAAAAGGCAAGTACAGTATAATCCATCACGGAAGAGGGCTTGCCAATAGTAGCATTTCCTTGGCCAGGATCAGGAGTACCGTACCGGTACCACTAGCTAGAAAATACGAAATAGTCTTGTATTCTGATACTGAGGCTTGATACTACCGGTAGAGGTCATTGGATACGGTAGCCGTACCGTAGCTCTCTTGTGGGTTGTTGGTGTCTCCTCGCTCCTGTTGCCTTTCATTCAATGAGGACATGACTGTCACTCGACGGCGATCTGCTCGGGCTGATGATACTACCAGTACGGTAGTAGGACTGGACTTCACTCCTCCTTCCTTCGTATCTGGCTGATAGACTAGACTACATGTAGTTTTAAAATAAGAAAACCGGAGACTAACCCTTGCTCTTTACAATTGTCTAACTTGACTGTGATGATCAGCGGCCAAGCCAAAGCCAAGACATGGCTGTCCTTGACATCCCACCTTCCACATACAGTGTTCAATCGCGTGCGATCTTGGTTGATCTCGGCCTGGATCTTCCGGATCTCGGCCCTCTCCTTGCCCTCGACTGCGGCCATGCATGTTTTGTTAGCCTGGCTAGCTAGCTAGCTACAACTGGTAGAACTTTCGGTTGGATGATGCGACTTGACGAGAGTCAGCAGCTGTGACCACTTCTTTTTTTAGTGTCATGAGGGTCACAACCACCTTGGTGTCAAGTGTCTTCTTTCGCGATGAAACGGCGCTGCCCTCCACATCTTTCCCACAACATTATCGCAACACAGGCAAGTTCGAATTCAATCGATAAAGGCAAGCTATTGTAGTACAGTACGTCCAGCTATCCAGAGCAAACCAAGTCAAGTCAGTCTTTTATTAAGCTCCTCTTGTCTTGAAATCCAAGCCAAGCCAAGCCAAGCCAAGCTTAGCTGAAGCCTCAGAGTGCTACTAGCGGTACATGTAGCTAGCTAGAAGAACAAAGAATCAAGTCTGAGGTCAGCTATATGCATAAGTGAAGCAAGCATCTCCTTCTCTTATCTCTACAAACATACAAGTACCAGTGCCAGTACCAGTACAAGTCAATAGATTCAAGATTCAGCTTCAGTGGGCTTGGCCTTCACACTTTGCTTTTTACCTCATCTTTCTGCCTGAAGCCTGAAGTCTGATCTCTCAAGCCTCAAGTCTTTCTGCATCTGATCTCATTCATTCATTCATTCATCTGGTTGATCCCAAACCATCCAACAAGCCTGGTCTTTGAAAAGATTCTTTCTGCCATTGCAAGCAAGCAACTACTCGTACTGGTACTGTAGATCAGGGAGATCAGGAAAGAAAGAAAGAAAGAAAGAAAGATCAGATCAGAAGAGAAAGAGTCAAGATGACTTCCTTTGCCCCCATTTCCTCTACTGATTCCATGAGACGCAATCGCATTGCGGCGCAACAGCACGAACCCGTCATTCTTGCTTCCACGGGAACCATTGTCACCGATTTGCCAGATTCCGAATATCCACGACCTTTGCAAATTGGAGACTACTCGCAGCGTTCACAATCACAACAATCGGCTTACTATTATGAAACAACCACCACCACCTATTCTTATCGAGGAGGATTCTCCACGTCACTCTGTGATTTATTCCAAGATCCACGAGATCGGTCCAGTTGTTGTGCCCTCACGTGCTGTGGAACCTTTCTACAAGATCGGAATCGATTTATACTCACGGGAGAAATGCCACCGCCCTGGTGGATGCGCATTCTCGTCCATGTCGGAGGATTTGTCCTCTCTGTCATTGTATCGTCCATTCTCGTTGCATTATTCTTCAACAATCAACACTCTCTCCTGGCAGCCCTCTTGCCACCCGTCCTTTTTGTCATGGCCATGTTGCTACGAGGCACGACCATGCGACAACAATTACGAAAACAATTGCAAATTCGCATGATGGAAACAACAAACCCACAATCACACAACAATGATAACCACCAATCCTCCTCCTTCTCCCAACAGCTTCATCTTTCAACCCGCAGCGAACATTGGTGTTGTGCCTTGGTCAGCAATGACCGTCGACGTACACTCGCACACCCCAACAATACTACTACTGCCATGTCACGCACCCAACGCGACCAACACTACTTTCTCCAAGAAGAGCGACAACGACGACAGCAAGCCGATTTTTGTTTTCGCATTTGGCAATTACTGTCGTGTCTGTGCTGCGATATATGCTGTTTCAGTTGGTGTCACTGGTGTGGCATGTGTGCCACCGGACAAGAAGATCGAGAACTACGACGATTGTTGCCACCGCAAGTCTTTTGGAGAGATTACATTACCTTTCAACCCTACGGGGAATATTATCCCCAAATTGAATGGTTGCGACAGCAGCAACAACAGCACACGACTACCACAACTTTTTGGAATCATTTGGGAGCACTCTCGCAGTTGTCTCAAAAACTACTGTCGCTCTTGCAATGTTCCATTCTGCTGTTACTCGGAATTGCCACCTTTCACATTATCAGCAGTTTTTCCATTGGAAAAGTATTTGTCGTCGTGGCGACATTGGCACAAGCATTTCTCATACTCTACCTCGTCTATTGGCGTCATCATCGAATGGATGTGAGTTTGGATGCCATTATCAAATTCTTTGCTTCGGGGTTCGTACTGGCCATGACGGCCGCATTGGTCGTCGAACTCCTATTGGACGCTATTGGAGAAGTCATTTTCAGTATCGTCATGACCAACGAATACATTCAAGATCATCCGGAAGTGCTCACCATGGACGATGATTACGCCATTGCACATGGACAAGTGGGACCCTTTTCCAACATCGAAACCTTCAAGGGCATGGCACAAAAACACTACATCACCTTGCTCGTTTATCTATTTTTCAAGGCCGTCGTCGTGGCAGCGTTGGTCGAGGAAATGACCAAGTATTATTGCTTTTGGATGGTCGAACATCCCGATTACATTTACGGATCACTCCGGCATGTCAACCCGGAAATGGGAGAAGAGGGAGCGTTTTGCAATCATCCCGCTGACAATAATAATAATCATGGCACTACAACAAATACAAATACAAATACGACGACGAGCCAACAACAACAACAATGCGTCGTCGCGCCACCCACGTCCCCGTCCGAATCGGCCACCACGGGAATGCCGCCCTTTCGACCACGACAAACACCCAATCACACCACGGCGGGGGCAGCCATTACCGTCGGTATGATTGCCACGGCTGCTGGATTTGCCTGTTCCGAAAATCTCATGTATGTCTTTAGTCAGAATTCCGTGGCGGGAGGTGAGTACAGTACAGTGCATCGAATCGAATCGAATCGAATCGAATGATTCAATCGTATCGTATCGTAACGAATCGCTCGTGTGGCGTTGCTTGCCTGCTTTGTTCTGTGGAGCCCTGCTTCTATGTACTCATGCGAACGAACGAGTGCATGAGGATTGCGCGAAATGATTCAATCGCGTTTTGCTTGGAGACGACTCAACTCTCACCCACGCCACGCCACTTGCATTTTCTTCACGTCGTTTTGGGATGAAAGAAATCACGGTTTTAATGGTTCGAAGTGCCTTGCCTGTACACTCGATATGTGCCGCCATTCAAAGTATCGGGGTAGTACGGCGGGATGTGGAGCAGGATACCGACTACAAGATTGGATGGGCCATCTTTCCGGCAGTGCTTTTGCACGGAATGTTCGACTTTATACTGCTCTCGCTTTCCATGATGGAATACGTCTGGTCTCCCTCTTCCAGTAGTAGCACCAACAATAATAGTCAAGGCGGCGACAACAACAGCCAACACAGCAATGCCGGGGCGCATGACGATTGGCTTGGAACCAACGATGACGAGTACCCCGCCCCAGTGGAGTATTCGGAAACGTTTGCTGAACAAATGTTGAGTTTCAGTGTCGGGGCCGCAATTACCATGATCGGGGTCATTTATTATGTGAACGAGTCAGGCAAACAACGACACCGACTACAGGCTTTGGAAATGACAACCGCAGAAGTGCCATCGACAGCGGGGCTAGTGTTCACGTAAACTGCTGTGATAACAATTAGTATCTACTGCGCCGGTTCTCATCAGAGCTCTCTGAATGATTCAGAGCTCTCTGCAATTTTGCGTTTCCCACGCCCTGATATCTGCATGGCGGCAATGTCTAAAACTAATGATTGCACCAGCATCCCATGGTCATCCATTCTCATGCAGGCATTGCAGCACGCTCATCATGGGCATATTGGAGGTACTCAAGATGTTCTTGAGCTGCCCCATTACATGTGAAGGCATGCCATGGACAGCCATTGGAAAAAGAGCCATCTCAAACTGTGCTGCCAATAGCTGCCAGTAGACCCCCTCTTAAGATTGAAATGGAATATTATATTCAGAGTGGACTGTGAGATGGATTACATGGAACTTCTTGTCTGCTAGCTACTGCGGTAGGAGACGATACCAGTGTGGCTAGCTACTACCGCACCCCAGATAATTATAGAACAAAGGTAATTGAAAAAACTCTTTTGGGAAAATACAAAAAATACTATCAGATAGTTGAGTCCTCAGTCAGCTTCACAAAACCTGTACTGTCTGAAGTTTCAAACAATGTCTCTGAACACTGTCTTACGTGAGTAGACTATGACTGAGTGACGAGTCTTGAAGAATTTTAAAAGGCCAATCGGGGGCCATGCGCGGACCGTATTTAGCCTCAGTGTAGGTTAACAGTGTCTTTTTTAAACTAAAAGACTTATTTTTTTTCGCCACTATCATGCTTAAAAAGAGCACAGAAGAGCTTTTTATGCCCAAAGATGGCCACTTTTGCTCTGAAGATCTCGTCGAATCGAATCTTTCTACAACTATGGTGGTGGTAATCCACTTTCCCGACTCCTACCACCATCAAAGCTCACTATTGGGTGGGTATTGTGTTGCTAGTATACTTAACTAGGTGCCTACTTCCAACAGGAGACGATAGGATTCCATCATTAGGACCACTCTCTGGACCCCTGAACAGTGGCAGTGTCTGCACGACCGACCTCGAATCCTGCTTCTCCCGATTGATTGCGCTGATCCTGTGGTTGGAAGTTGGCCCTCTCCTGTTAATCATGGTTAGAACTATTATAAATGGAGAGGATCCTGTAGTAGAAGTTGCCACAGTTCTCTCTTGTTGCCGTCATTCTTTTTCTCCTTTTCTTTAGGGCACACAACACGTACACGTACCGTGAAGCCTAGACTACCCCAACGCCAAGGTCGTTTGCTCCGGCCGCAATTCGATTTTCCCATCTACAGTGGTCTCATGATGCGTCAGGAATGGGAGATCCAACACCAGGCTATCCTGGGATCAGCCACTGACGTGTGCAGAGACAGGCAAACTGCTTGCTTGTATGTAGCTAGAAGCCAAAACCAGAAATAGGATGTCACCACACGACACACAAACATCCAAGTGGTGGGGGTACTTTGGCTCTGTCAATGGGTCAACAACTTGGATCGTGCTCACGTCTTGCTACTGGTACTAGCTAGCTAGTCGACTCAGCCTAAAGCTGCGTGGCTCTGCATCGAATTGGCTTCAAGTTTCTTGGATCTGTGTGGGGCTGCAGCCAATTAGTACTAGTAACACCTCAAGGCATGGCTCTGCAGCTTCAAGTTTCTTGGAGGTGTGTGGCCCCGGTTGGCTTCAAGTTTCTTGGGGCCGCGTGAGCGGGGGCAGGACAAGACTTGGTAGCTGACCTGCATTCACGGCAGTATTGGTTCATTTTAGTCAGGGGTACGGGGCGGCTGTGTTTCTGAAATCGTAAAAGTATGCATAGCTGCGCGTAGTCTTCACATAAAAATGCAAAACAGATGGACTGTTGAAACTTATCTTGTGCGTAACTGGATGTAATGTAACTGTGCGTAACTGCTATGCTATGAAGAGTGCGGCTGTGCTGTGTTGTTGTGGTTAACCCTGTAATTTCCCCATACCCAGTTCCCGGACCCCAGCGTCGTGGTAAGGCAAGGTACGTGCGCGCTTTTGTTGCCTCTCTGCAGGATGGATGGATGGAGCAAAAACTCCACAGAAGCCCAAGACACAGAAGTGGTACAGGTGCTTCATCAAAGCTCACAAATCCAAAACAAAAAAGTTAGAAACCAAACAAAAATCAACATGAAATTCTTGTCTGCTGCTACTCTCTTCCTTCTTGCTGCAAGCACCACAACATGCCTGGGAAAAGTTAGGAGGCGCTACTTGGAAGAAGTTGTCAAGCCTGAGCAACTCAACCAAAGCTGCAGCAATCTCAAGTACGAAATGTTCATTGCTGTGGAGGGAGACCACATGGGGATCTTTGCTCAACCAACCAGAGATATCCCTGAGGAGGAACTTCCAGAAGATTGTGGACCCATGTTCTTTCACCAAGTACCTCCAGCTCCCAAGGAGGTTGGCCCATCTAGTGTGGACAGGTTCCTCCCTGGTGCTTTGTATCCCCTTGGGGATCACAACATGACGGACATTTTGATTGCATTTGATTCTGTCCCCAACTCTGATGAAACGTATGACATTGTCACACACCATTGTGCAATCTTGATCCTTCAGATGATGTGCTCTTTGAACATCCCTCTAGTACAGGACATGAAAGATTGGGCTGCTGGTGAGCTGATGCGCACTGGTGAGGCTAAGGACAGCATTGTCTCCATGACTCGTGACAGTGTCAGTTTTGACCTGCTTGGTATTGCTCGGAATGCCTCAGCTGCGGCTTCCATTAGGACACTTGTGGAGTACGATGCTGACATGTTCTACTGTCCTGCTGTTGAAGAGACGAAAGCTGACGAATTTGAATGCTCTGGGTCTGGCAATTACTTTGGTACGAAAGTCTCCATGGCTTCTCTCTCTGCAATCATGGCTTCTGCCATGGTCATCTAGCTAGTGAGCGTGAGAGGGCTTGTTGCTTGTGTTACAACTCCTGACTGTGAGTGTGGCTGTGGTACGGTACGGTGCGGTACGGTACTTGTATCTAGCTATGATTCTTCTGGTTTGGCCCGATATGAAGATGAAGAATTGGCTGGTTTTAGTTAAAAATAACTGTTAGTAAAACTATGGCTCTTTGGCCAATGCAAACTGCGCGCCACTTTTGGGATCATCGATTCTTTAGGTTGGCAGTGGTGTCAGCATGCTCCTCCTCATCTGTTTGAACCGCTAGTGATCCACAGGACTGGGTGGTGGGTTCAACTATGTTTCTTGGCGTCGTAGCTGGAAGCAGCCAAGCGCAGTCAATCCGGCGAGGATCGGCAGCACCGTACCCGGAGGGACACTCTTGTCCTCCTCTCGGTCTGTTTCCAGTTACTACAGGCAATCTCTTTGGCTGTGTCAAAGGGTCAACAATCAGAGCCATGATTTGTTTGATTGCCCATTCAGGCCATAGCAGCTCCGCGCACGGCAAGATGTCCATTCATAGGAGCATGTGTGTTTGCAGCAGGCCTCCGTATCCACTACATGTATGAAGTTCGCTGCTCTCAGTTTTCATGAGCGATCCAAGCCACGAAAGCCGGGCTCCTCTAGTTGGGAGCTTGGTTATTTGGATTTGAAACGCACCGTGCCTTCATCGAGACTTCACGACACTTTTGGTAAGCAAGCGGCCGTGAAAGCATGATGAGGAGGCAGAGATCGACCCGCACTTGCTGCTGCACGGATCGTTCTCCCGTCTACCGGTAGCTAGCTACCTGCTGGAGTCACCCTAACGATGGCTCTGCATCAATTGGCTTCAAGTTTCTTGGGGCTGAGTCTGAGAGTCGAGTGCCTGAACCACCAGAAGACTTTCGGCTCGATTTGGACATTGCCGGGAGCTGGGCGCGGCTACACGGTGGCTCCCGCATGGTCGGCTTGCTTGCCAAGTGTCACGTTCTTGCTACAGCACTACTGGTATGGCATACCACCTGCTACCCAGGGGCGAAGTCGCAAAACACTATCTCCCTCAGTCTCCGAGCCATTTTCCCTGTCGCGGCCGCTCTACTACTACAGTCGTACCAGTACCAGCTAGCTAGACTCGTCACTCGAAGCTCGAAGCTGGAAAACCAGGATGCTAGCTAAACGATTTTTGAAAAAATGAGGGTTAAACGTGCATCGTGCGATGATGACTATGGAAGGCTTAACAGACGCATAACGGTTATACCGTCTTCACATGACTCAATGCTTTCGAACATTCATCCAATAATGCAGAACGGTGTTCCCACCCAGGGAGAGTGGAAGTCGCCCTCGTCAAGAGCTTCACCAAGTCCATGCCTTCCATTCTTGTAAGATACACCAACTAAGTTTGCGTCTCATCACTCTTCGGCGCGTCTCATCAATCTTCGGCGTTTCTCATCACTCTTCGGCGCGTCTCATCACTCTTACTCGTAGACCCAATTGATGGTGCAGCAAGCCTAGTATAAGCTCTTCAGATGATCAACATTATCAACATTCTTACCGTCCCTGCCTGCCTTCTCAAACCTGCTAAACGATTTGGTGGCTGAGCATCAAATACCGTGGATGTTGAAACGGCGAAAGACCTGAACAATTTGCTCGCTAATGCTGCATGCTTTGTACAGCATAAATTAATTGGCTAAGCTGAACGGAGTCCCTTTTCCCCCAGAAGACTTGGCAACTGAGCTCGATTGGACGTTGCCATGAGCTGCATTTTTACGAAAGAGGGCTCTCGGCATTTTTACACGTACATGTAGCTGCTAGCTAGCTACCGGTAGCTAGCTAGCTGCCTTTTAGCGCAGGAAGGGCGACGGCTTGCTTCCCGACGTGTCGAGATTTGCTTGAAGTCACCATCGCCGAGCCATTTTTCCTGTCGCGGCCACTCTCGAAAGAGCCAGACGCCGCATGCTTGCTCCACGTCTTTGTGGCTGAGCATCATTCACCGTGGACATTGAACGGTGAAACGACATGCACAACAAAAAGTTGCTGTGTGGAACTGCTCATAAATCAGAAGAAACACCAAACAGCACAACAATGAAGATCCATCTGTTCCTTTCCTTGGTACTTCTTGGCCTGAAAGCACCAGTAGCCCAAACTCAGACAACAAGTGAAACATACTGCTGTTCAGAGTCACTATGTGCTGACTGTCAGGGAACCACTGTCTCAGGTTCAGCGGAGTGCACCAGCTGGCCATACATCTTTGCCAAGGTTGATGGCACTTGTACATCCCCCTACCAAGTTGTCTGTTGTGCAGATGACTTGATCTCTGATGATGGCTCCATTCTTACCGCAACTTGTTCCAATAGTTGTCAAGAATATGATGACAGGACCTCTTGCACCGAATATGACAGTGCCGTCACCACCTTTGATTCTGAAAGTAACACTTGCTATGCTACCTATCCCTTCCTTTGCTGTTATTTTACAGGATGTGGCAGTGGTGACTGTTCCAAAGGAGCAGCGTCTGCATCTGTTTGTGGCGAAATCAATTCGGACAGATTTGATTCATACATCGATCTCAATACTGGTGAATGCTTTGACCTGCCCATCAGATGCTGTAGCTCACGGGACTCAGGTGGCAGTTGCTCCAATTGCAACACAGTTGCTGCAACAGCAGAAGATTGTGGTACATCGTTTTACTTTATCGTGGACGGTGACTACTGCTATGATGCACCTGCACCAGCGCCCACCAACAGCCCCACGGAACCCCAACTACAAGCCAACCAGTCGCCCTACTGGAACCAACTTCAAGCCCAACCGTAGCAACCAGCAGTCCCACAGGAACCCCAACTACAAGCCCAACCAGTACCCCCAGGATCCCCACCACCAGCCCTGATGATGGACCACAGATGATTGGAGACCCACACATTAGGACCTGGTTTGGGAAACAATTTGATTATCATGGTGAATGTGATCTTGTCCTGATTGCTGCTCCAGGCTTTCAGGATGGACTTGGCTTGCATCTGCACGTGAGGACCAAGATCCAGTTCAACACGTACTCCTACATTGAAGCAGCTGCTCTCCAGATTGGACAAGACGTCTTGGAAGTTGGCAGCTATGGAGACTACTATCTGAATGGAGTCGAGTCAGCGGAAGTCAACAAGCCATTTGCATCAAGGCTGAATGGAAGGAAGGAGGAGCCCGCATCTTTGAGTGGCTTTCCAATCCACTTTGATGTTCCGGAAGAAAAGAAGAAACTCTTTTCTGTCAAGTTAAGTGCCAATGAAGTCATCCACATCACTGTTTGGAAGCAGATTGTGTCTGTGAAACTGGACCACAGCAAGGACTCTCAGTTTGCTGGAGCCACTGGTTTAATGGGAGATTATGATGCCGATGGTCTCATGCTGGCCAGAGATGGAGGGGCAGTCATGGAGAATCCAAATGAGTTTGGTCAGGAGTGGCAGGTCAGAGACTCAGATCCTCAGCTGTTCTTGACGGCTAGGGAACCTCAGTATCCTCAACAGTGCAAACTCCCCAGTGCTAGTAGCTAGCCGCCGTAGGACTGATGGAGAAAAAGCCGGCTTCGATTCTAAACTAAAAGGACACAAAAAACAACACAGATTGACTTGCGTACCAAGACGCGTTTTTCGGATTCGGAGTGAGCCCAAGGTACTGGTACCACTTTCGGCTTCAGTTGCCATGTTCTTGCGTGCACCAGATATATTGGGTCTCCAACATAGACTACTAGCTGGTACCGTACCCAGCGTGTTCATACCTTTCCGAAAGGACCCTTTGCCATGGTCAAAGTATCGGTCTAGTCGTCGCAGGTCCGGTGTTGTTGGCCCACTTGACGAGGAGATCTTCAGGGACGAGAGCTTGGGGGAGACGTTGGAGTTAATTTCAGTTGTCTCGAGGCTCAGTTTCCAAATCGGACACCTTGAGATTGTACTGAGCCTCCCAGGGTGTTTTGCGGGTTGGGTTCCATTGGGCATACCAGGTACCAGCTATCCGTCCACCAAAACGATGCCATCCATCGTTGATGCTTGCTATAACGCCATCGATGAGGTGAATGATGCATCGAATACTATGATGGCGTACTTTGGCAGAGGTCAGTGGCGGGTATACCGGTGTCGAGACATCTAGGTGTGGCTTTCTTGGTTTAGACCGCACAAGTTCCGAAAAAGAACCCGCCCAGCTGATCTTTCCCACCTAGGCGTATCCGAAGGATAGACGTACGAGTACGAAAGAGAGAAGTATCAAAGCCACAGTAAAGGAGTTCAGAGTTTAGAGAACGAATTGAAGATTGAAACAGTGGGCATCAGACGACCGAATCCAGCAGGATCCGAGGGACAACTCCAAGGATCCAAGGAGAATTTACGAAAGCAAAGCAGGGACCAATGAGCCGCCGACGACCGCCTTGTAGATCCCCGCTGCGACAAAGGAAACAAGGAAGGAATGCTCGACTCGAAAATAGAAAGCTCAGGGTCGGCACCAAGGTCCTCCAAAGGCGCACCAAGAACTTGAGAACCATGGCTTCGGCGGGTCAAAGAGAGAAGACGTGTGAGACTTTAGCTATCTAAGAGGGAACATGACTTGACTCGACGCCACAACTAGCCAGCAAACAACAAGGAGAAGTTGCAATGGGACTACTATAGGCTTCGGAGGCGGGCCAAAGAAAGAGATGCATGTGTGAGACTTTTAAAAGCTATCTAAGAGCTAAGAGTGAACATGACTCGACGCCACCGACCGGCCACGGGACAGATCCAAGGGTCACGGTGGATACGGAGAGAAGGAACCAGCCAACCGATCAACCAACCAACAATGTCACCGCAGCCATCATGCTAACGGCCAACATTGAGAGACCTACAAGGAAGAGACAAGAGTTTGAGGCGCCACAGTTTGCTTCTGAAGCGCGCCCTGAATGACACAAGAAGCGAACGGCAATCCGCCAAACAGAAGAACCGACTTTTACCTTTGCATGAGGACGAACCAGCCAACCCAATGCTACTCAGCTATGAACTGTTCCAAAACCACAATCGGCTATACCATGGAACAGAGCACGGCCTTTCACCCGACAAAGAAAGGAAGGAAGGAAAGGAAGGAAGGAAGGAAGGAAGGAAGGAAGGAAGGAAGGAAGGAAGGAAGGAAGGAAGGAAGGAAGGAAGGAAGGAAGGAAGAAGGAAGAGAGCCATCAGCTATGAACTGTTCCAAAACCTCAATTGGCTATAACATGGACCAGAGCACGGCCTTTGGCAACTCTTTTTGTGACATGAGAGGAATTCAATTCTAGTGGAGATTAGTACCATGTATCGTGTGTAGTGTTTCCAAAGGACAACGGCTTTTCTGCGATTGCAAAGCTTCGTTTTGAAATAAAAAAATGAAGAAACGGCTCTGATTTCAAAATGTATCGGCTACTTGGCAATCGCTGTTCGCAAAACCTCAATTGGCTATCTTGGAATATCAGTCATGCCGTTTGCTGCTCTTCCTTCACTATTATTATTATTATTATTATTTTGGCTACAACAAAGACGAGGGGGCGAAGCTAGGCAGAGCAGAGACAACAAGTACTGTACTACCAGGTACTAGCTAGTACCGGCACACCGGCACCTACGAACAGTCCCACAGTTTCAGTCCCGGCGGTGGAGCACTAATGAGCGCTAATGAGCGCTCATTAGTGCTCCGGGACTAAGATCACGTGTACGTTGACCTTTTTCGTGACAAGCGACTGGACCTCTGTGGAACGATAATTCCAGTCGTGGGCTCGTCTCCTTAAGTCACTAATAGGAGACGCGCACGTCTCCTTTAAGCGACTTAACGTCTGCTATATTTAGGGGATCCCACTCCTATGTACTCGCGCCTTAGATAACGCGTAGTTAACACGGGTACATCTCCTATTGCTTCGGAGACGTCTCCTTCAAATAGGAGACGTCTCCTATTTCGAAACCACGTTTCTTAAATCGCTTACGTCTCCTATTTGAAGGAGACGTGTTAATGCTCCTACAGTCTTGCCCACGATTCAATATATCCACAACGGTCCTGTTGCTTTCGAAACTCGAGCATCCTATACCGGTACCGGTACCGGTACAATAGCTAGCTAGTAGTACGGTACTAGCTAGTAGCAAGACAAGAGACAGGCAATCGAGACGTGGTGCGACCGGATAGTAGCCAGCTAGCTGGTGCCTGTTAACACCTGCATAGTGATACTAATACTCCACCGACCACCACATTCGTCACCGGCCGCGAGTCACCGATGAGAAGCTCCTTACTTTACGTTATGACAGCGCTCATTGGGATTTCTGTGGAGCGCATGGAAAATCCGTCAATGAAGAGTTTGACAAAGGCAGTGATGCAAAGCAAGTTCCTTCGAAGAAGAACAACAGCAAGGCAGAAGTACAAGTCTACTCGCAACAACGACCTTTCTTCCAAGAGCGAAGAAAAGTGTTGTGATTACCACGAGTCCAGTACTCACAATACTGCTGATTGCATAACTCTGAAGAAACTCAAAGCCAAGTCCTCGTCTGACAAACGATAGCAAGCCAGCGTACAACAAAAACAAGACTTGGAAATGCAAGTCTGACGACGCCAAGTCCTACACCAAGAAGGAACTTTCGGTCCTTATGAAGGAAGTCTCCAACGCTGCGGTCAAGGGCGGATCGCAAGAAGAAAAGCGAATGCAACCAAGTTGCCAAACGCAAGTCATACGACTCTGACAACGAGGATGAATCCTCTGTTGGATCCATAACCATGATGGACAAGAAAATGGGCTGCAGTCGACAAGGCTTTTGCCGACTTCGACTTCAATCATTCAGATGGAGAGATCTCCGTCTGAGGATTAAGCCAAGGAAGATGAATCAACGGAACCAATTTCCGATTTCTCATACCATAGTGATGAAGGAAGTTATCTCACTAACTAGTAAAACAAGAATTGTTTGCAACTGATGAAGTCAACGGCAAATTAGATGATTGGCTAGAAGCTGCTCAACTAGACTCTGATAATCTATTTAGCATCGTTAACCTGTCCTGGCCAACCAACTGTTAACGTCGCAAGACAAGAGACCTCAAAACTATCGTCTTTTGTTAAGTTAACAGACGAGAAAAAGGGAAACAACCCGTTACACTCCGTTGCTTGACTGGATCAGGAGCATCCGGAACCTTGATTACCCAAATTCATGCTAAGAGATTAAATGAAGGATCATGGGGGCGTCCAAACACTATGGACTACCCTGTAAAGGAATTAAACCCAGCACGAAGTGTAAGGGTGCACTTATGATTCCTGAGTTCCACGATGATAGAATATCGAATGGAACTTGCACGCACCAAGAACTTGGGGGCGTATGACATGACATAGGTCAAGACATTCTCTCCGATCAAGAATCAAGTTCGATTTCACTACCATGTCAGTGAAGTGGAATAGCACATCTTTCCTATGAAAGATAGCAATACCAACGAAGAAAGGAACTTCTTCATCCTGATCCTACAGCTGTCAGCGACAGTACAGATCGTCTCAAGAGGACTCTTGACGTGAAATACGAACAACCTGACTTAAGGCAGATATGCAGAGTCAAAACCAGGTAAATAAGGAAGAAGCAGGAACCGCTTCATGCCTTATTAACAAGTGCTCCGACCAATTCGAAGTACTTTAGGAAAGCGACAAATGGACGACACGAGTAGAATTTCCCTGACTAAACCTTATCACGCTGGGCTTACAGTACTCCACGGTCCATACCAACTCTTAAGACAGAGGTCGAACTCTCTGCGACGCAGGAGCATTTAAGAAGGTAAACCGTTCCGAGTGGACGGACCAACTTTATCATTCCCAAAAAAAAAATGGATCTACACGGTTCATCTCTGATGTCCGGGAACTGAACAAAAGGATTGAGCAAAACCTTGTCCGATCCCAAGGATACAGACATCTACTGAATCTAGACGGATTGGAAATACGAGTACCAGCGAGTACCGATGGGCCTATGCAATAGTCCCCATCTTCCAAAGGAAGATGGAACACACCATGCACGACTGAAAATGTCCGTGCATACATTGATGATCACTATCCTAACTAACGGCGATCTAGTAGATCAGTTGAATAGTTAGTGAAGTTCTCCTAAAGGCTTCGAGAAGCCGGACTAAGATCAATGCTACCAAGTCCTTCTTCGAAAGAAGGAACTGAATATCTAAGCTACTGGATTACTGAGAAGGAATCCAACCCTAAACCAAGAAAATAGACTGCGATCAAGAAATCGCTCCTCCACGAACAGGAAGAAACTTGGTAGATTCTTGGACTAGTGAACTACTATCGAGACATATGGATCAGAGATCACATGTACATACAACGTCGGGGATCCCAAGAAAAGGAATCCTGTCCATTTCATTGCTTGACAATGATGATCCCGTAACCGAATGGTTCGAGATGCCGAGATCTGCTCCAATGCAGCAGACGAAGTAGCCATCGTTCTAGAAAGACGTGGCTCACCCAGTATCCAGGGCCTGCTGAGGTTATCATGGATAGCGAACTGAGTTCCGCGCAGAAGTCGAGAAGAACTCTCCGGATGAA